TTATCGATATTTTGTTAATTATTCTTAGATTAATGAATTCTATACTGAGTATATCTTTATTGGAAATGATTTTCATATTATAAAAATATATTCAATATTAAAAAAGAATTAAGCCAAAAAGGGTTTTCTTTTCTTTTTTCAAAGAATATGAATTTATAGTAAATGAGAAATTCAAAATTTTACAATTGGAAATTCGTTCGAAGGAATTCAAAGTTATTGGATTATATATAACAGAATTAAAACTCAAAGATCTAATCCGAGAGCAGAACTCTTTGAAGGATATATTGGCGGTATATGACTGAATCATCTGGTTCAACTACTGAGTAATACTCTATTGCTGTCTCGAATCACCTCATTCCCAATACCTAAAACTCCCAAAGAATTACTAACTTGATGGATCATGAATTTAAGGAAGTTTATTAAAGAATTTGCCAAAAAAAATAATCGGGAAACTAATATGATTATCGGTATATCATTTTTGGATCTTGATAGTATAATTAGCCAACGCTTGGAATACATATATTGAGGATAAATTTTAGTCTGGTCTCAAAACCATTGCACAGCCTTCGGCTCCAAGGAAAAAGCCTCACGATATTGCTCAGAACAAGAGGATTCTTCAATAGAAGAAGACAGTTTTAATTCAAAAGGTTCACCGCACTAAAGAAAGGTCAATTGGCGAAATTCGAAACCACCATCGATCATTTGCATACTCAAACCGCAACTCCCCTGAATTACCCGAACCTTCTGAACGTCCCGAAAGTTCCATTGGCCCTGAAAGCCCTGAGCGCCCTGAACGCCTTGAACGCCTCGAACAACTCGAATCCCCTAGCTAATGAATATGGACACTTATCGTCAGTCAAATCATGTAATTGAAACTCAAATTCTTTGGTGAATTATCAAGGAGAAAGAGTCCATCACGAGAAAAGGTCGAATATTGAGTCTTCACCCGAAGTTCAGGAAGATATGTCCATGAAGATAATAGCGGGGAATATGAATTTGAATTAGAAGGTCATGCATATATTCATCAAAGGAAATTGAAATGTGGACAAATTCTCCCATCAGGACGAATCAACCTTCACCTAGTCCAGATATGTTACAACGAGCCTCTCCGATTACAGAATTGAATATCAATAAGACTGCATATGGTAATGCAGAGACTCCCCTGGTTCAAAAGAACTCGACATTACAAGGCTGGCGAAAACATTCGTCTCATATTCACGTCAAGCTGGATAGCACCGATGTTTCCTCTGACCTGACGATCAATGTATGGGACCACAACCGTCGACCACAAGTTGGCATACCAAATGCTATACACATGCCTACATGGGATCTGAATGAAGATGGAGTAGTGACACTGAATCAATTGAATTGGTGGGAACGAGCTGAAGAGTTCTGTGATCTAACACCCAGGATGCTGAGAAGCTTTCTTAAGGGCATTCCTTCTCAAATATAACCGAGTATACAAGGCTGAGTAAAGAGCTATTGGAGAGAGGGGAACTTGATCTCGTAGCTATATCTTGATGAATGAAAGACCAAGGGTTGAAGATTTGAGATTATACTCAATTTATTTGGAATAATTGACCTGTTGAGGCTATATAATAACAACAGCTTGCTTTTCAAGAGCGCTTGGTAGTCATCTTCTCAATCATTTCAAGTTCACTTCATCTTCAAGTAATATATATACCTTAATCTTGAGGCGGTGATCGGTTCTTGACTCTATCGATTTCGATTTTACCATTTCTCCCCCCTCCCCCCTCACCTTTCAAAAAACAACAACAACAACAAATACTGGGATAGCTCACAGTAACTATTGAATTGAAGGACTTCCTCTTTATCAGAGATTCTTTTTGAATCTATTCAAATTTGTAAGTATCATTTATACTCTACTCAAGATATCGATTTTTGACTTTCGATCTATGGCGGCTAACCTCAGTTTTTGTTTACTATAGATAACAAACGACATCACTCTATCGCAGAGAATACTTTCAAAAGAACTTATCTTCAAGGTATAATAATCTTCCTATTCTCATCTATGAATTTTTAATAAATTTGAAACCAGTTCTTTCCCCTGAACTTTGACAGGATGCCGCCGTCAACACCCAAGAAGCGGAGTAAATCTTACAGTGACGACAACTCCAACAGAAAACGAGCGAAAGCGTCTGAATCGGCCTCAAAATCGACATCTGAGTCATCCGACGATGATTCAGATACATCTGATGCATCCCACGATCCACTGTCTACGGACTGATGAAGTTGAAGGGAATATCAGGGTCAGAGATATAGAAAAGCTCCAGCAGACTTTACCTTTAATGGGACTATACTGAAAAGTCGACTTTCACGAGGTTTTCCAGCCATGGACGAAAATGGCGAGATTGTCACTTTTAGAAAACAAGTATTGCGTGGTGATTTGAAATCACCTTCAGACTCCGCCTTTAAATGCGTCGAGCTGGGGAAATTGATGAGAAAGCACTATCCTGTGCAAATGTCGTGCCCTGACATGTCCACCTTCAATGAGAGAGCGAAGACAGTTACTGGATCCTCAAGTACTGAACTTACAAGGCAACGCTCAATCAACAACAAAAAAGAGAAGGCGAAACTCAAACTGAGGGATTTTATAAAGCAGAATAATGCTGAGGATACACAGGAAACACCTGTACCAGCACCACAGAAAACAGATACACCACCATCACAGAAATCCGCTGTACCACCACCACAGAAATACGCTGTACCAGCATCATCCAGTACTCGAAAACCATCTAGACTATCTCAAGTGCCTAATGTGTCCGACCAAATCTCAACTACGCCTGAACGACCAGGTTCGACTGAATCCACATCTGATTCCAAAGCCCCGAGTTCGGACTTCATACTTGAACCAAACCCAAGCGATTATATTTTCGGTACATCTGAAGGTGACGATCTCACCCCCCTCACACTATCTCAAATGCAGGTGGCTTTTGCCCAAGGATTCTGTGCAGTGGTGGCTGTTGATACGATCAGAGCTGCATCTCAGAAGTATCGGAGTGAACGCGATGCTCATGGAAGAGAAATCTCAAAGCTGAAGAAGGAGCGACAACTCATAATTGCAGAATCAACTCAACTCAAAAAAGAACAAGAGGATTCGGTCGGTACGATTGAGAAACTGAAGTCGGAGATTCAAACAAAGGACAAAAACCTTAAGAAAATTAGGCAAGAGCGGACAGATGCCCAGCCAGGACTTCGCTAAGCAGTTGAAATCTGACAACCAGTCAATGGACAAAGATAGATCACTTGCACTGGCCGAGAATGAAAAGCTGAATGCCCAAATTATCCAAATGGGAGCCGACAATGAAGGACTCACTCAGTTGAACAAACAACACGAAACTGAGATCCTGCGTCTCACTGAGGATTGTGAAGCTGCTGAGAATCAGTCAAAACTACTGAGGTCTACAATAGCAAGTGTTTGTGGTCTTGCAGCTGAAGCAATCCTTAATGCACCGTAGTCACTTCAGAATTAGGCACATCGAAAGTCCGTCTGATTCAGATTAAATCTGAATGTGCTAGGATATGGAGGCTCTCATGAATTTTTCGGTGGATTGGGGGAAGTGAGAGGGCACAATCATCAGTAGATATTTAAGCAATTAAATAAATATCCAAATGTCTCATTACTTTGAATTTGTGAGGACCTTACCGTGAAAAAATTCCTTTGGCGAAATCATCTCCCTTTGACGGCCTATACAATTACTCTCATACCACAAAAATCAAATTCTTTTTACTCTAATACTACTTGGAATTTATTATCCAATAATTAGATTCTACCCTCTCACCCAATCTAGACATCCGACAATACCATTATCCAACGGGGCCCCTACCCCATTTATAGAACCTCTAGATCTTTAGATATACCAAGGTAAATGTACCGAGGAAACCAAGATCAACACCGAGATTGCGGAGAATATATGTACAGCACCGATATTCTCTGTATTGTGACTGTTCTAAAATCTAGTAGTATATAATATTAAATGTATGTATGTAGTGAAAGAATATACCGGTATATCCAACCGCGTACTGAACGTCTAAGTCTTAAGATCCAACAATCTTCTTCTAATCCCACCATCCAATTGTAACCCTCTATCCCAATATAATTATATATCATCCATCTCTAACCAACCAACCTATTACTACTGATCGCCCTTTGCAAACGGCGCCTCCATCTTCCCCTTTGTTGTCTTTGTATTATTCGCCTTTGAATCCTTCTTAAAGAACATTCCCAAGAATCCCAGCTTTTCCTTGAAAGTCTTTCCACTACTCTTTCTTACTCTAATCAGATAATAAAACAAAATTGCCATAAAAATATTGAAAAAGATATACGCAAACACGATACCATAGTCTCTCCAGCGAGTGTCGTAGCTGATGGCTACAGAAGAGAGAAATTGATCGGCGTTGGTGGAGGAACAGTATTGACAATCAGCCATTGCTTCGGGGTTATATATTGAGCCACCCGCTGCTGTGGCGTAAGATTGAAGATACTCGCCGCAGGTATCACCGGCAGGTGGTTGCATGACTGCGAGTTCGTTGGAGGAACATACAACTTGGCGGCCGGAAAGACCGGTGGATGCAATAGCTGAGACGAGATCTAAGGATGTTTGTTAGTTTATTGTCTCAATTAAGGTTGAAGATATCAAAACTTACAAGTCAATGGCGAAACACGATACATGAAGATCCAGAAACCAGGAAGTGCTTGTGGAGGTTGAAATACTCCATTAAAGGTAAGGGTCAGTGAGAACATCAGTGTGGCGATATTACCCGCAGTTTCAGCATCGGGAAGAGCAGCAATAAGCATATGTGCGAAAGTGCTAGCGAAGACGAAGAATTGAATCAAGAGGAGGAGAATCAGTCCTTGACGACCAGACGCTGGGATACCACCGTTGGTATAAATCGGGTAGAAGTAAGATGCAAATACCATGACACCAAGTAGAATCTGATATGGGATTTCGACAACAATATTGGCAATGATGAAGGCTATCCAACTATAAGCTTTTGATGGTCTTTCGCGAACTTCGTAGAGATCTCTTTGAAGGATAAATCTAGGCATGATTTGCTGTACGAGACTTGTGAAGATAGTTGTAATCATAAAAATGGAGAAAATAACGTCTTGGAGACCTTGCTGAGATGGATCGGCGTGAAAAAATGAGAACCCGATGAAAAGGGCAGATGCCACACCGAGGAGGAGCTTGGAATATACATATCCGGGGGTACGCCAATATTGTTGAAACACCCGTTTCATAACTTCCATGAGTTGAACGGTGAATGGCATGGCAAATTCACTATGTGAACCGGTATCCTCTCCAGATGATTGATGGCCCATTTCTTGTTGAATGCGTGAAATTTCTGTTTGGATATCCTTGGCCTGATCACTCTCTTTCCATACTTGATGCCTATATTCAAATTAGTTTCGACAGTATCAGTGACCGGAATGAATTCTTACCAATCTTGAGTAGATTTACCCTGTGCTCCAGCACCAACCATTGTTAACATATACTCTGCGGGATTCTCATCCTCTCCACATTTTGCCGCTCCATGTGATTGAAAATAGTTGAGCAAAGTCTCAGAATTGTGACCAATGCCTCCAAAGTAGACGGTCTTTCCTCCTTTTGCTAAGAATAGCAATCGATCGAATTCTTGGAACAAAATTGCACTAGGTTGATGGATGGTAGCCAAAACCGCCTGGCCGTTATCGGCAAGCTTTCTTAAGAAGGATACGATTGCCCATGAAGATTGTGAATCCAGACCGGAAGTAGGCTCATCCAAGAAGAGTAGGAGCGCAGGTTTAGCAGCTAATTCCACACCGATAGTCAACAACTTTCGTTGCTCCACGTTCAATCCCTCGCCAGGAACACCGACGACTGCTTCAGCAAAGTCTTCCATGTTCAACATCTTGATAACTTCTTCAACGAAATCATATTTTTCTTTCTTAGAGACGGTTTTGGGTTGACGCAACATAGCTGAGAATCGAAGAGCCTCTCTAACAGTGGTAGTTTCGAGATGTAAATCTTGTTGTTGAACATATCCGGTCTTTCGCTGAAATGATGCGTCGAGGGGTCTTCCGCTAACTAACATATCACCAGTAATTACGCCCATAGAAACTCTTTGTGCCAGAACATCAAGTAAAGTTGTTTTTCCTGCACCAGAAACACCCATCAAGGCTGTAAGAGTTCCAGGCTTTACCCATCCGGATACATTGTCGAGAAGTCTGCGAGGTTCGTTCTTGATTTTGATATCATAGCAAACATTTTTCCATGTGAATACATCGGTTTGAGGTACCAACGCCTGAACATTGTTATCTCCTTGGATGTTACCATCCTTGGCATCCGCCCCTGTTCCTACATGAGCTTCTTCATCGTTCTTTGCAGCGCGCTCGGCAGCTAGTAAATCTTCTGGTATGTGCCCACGACGAAATACCAGAACTTCGGCTTTGCTGTCTGTAGATGCGTTGAATTCGGTTGCGAGAAGATAGAAAGCTAAGAAGAAAAGCATGAATGCGAACAAAAAGCCCAAGTTACGCCAAATGTGGGAGTAGGAATATTGAAACTGTGCTTGCAAATAATCATCACCACTGACGGTAGTCGAGCCGACGACGGAACCGGCCACAGCACAAATGAAATTGTTGCCACTTTGAACATAACCAGCCCCTGTCGGTACCAGAGTCGAACAATCAAATTGTTTCCCATGTAACTCATTGACGAATAAGGCCTCAAACGCATACGCAACTGGATTGATCCATGAAATCCATTTGAACCAAGGATGCATCAGTGGTCTAGGGATGACGAAACCGGTGTAAATGACAATCGCCAGGGTGGCTACACCAGCTATAGCCAAAGCCTGAGAAATCGATTTCGTTGCTGCTGCGATACTGCGGTATATTTGACTCATCTAAAATGGTTATTAGATTTAGACAAATTATCACGAAAACGGAATACTCACAGTCAAGATAGCTACAAAATTAAACAGAAAGAAGATGAAGAATGCACCTGCTTCCCTTTTTAAACCCGCGAGAAAGTATATAATGATGTTGAAACCGGTTGCGATTGCGAATTTTACCGGTATATCGACGACGACACCAGCCAAAGCTTCAGTGAAAGGATGATAGAATGCGTAAGATGCCTGTTTTTCCACGATCGGTCTTTGAGAATATAAAGTATTAATTTCTGATATGGCAATCAGGGCGTTTAATAGTACGGCAAAGAAAAGAACACCTCCTTTTTGGAAGAAACTTGCTGTATTATCCGGAGTGTCGTAAAAGATAGAGCCGATGATCAACGCCATGGCAATCTGACCTACTATTGTGGTAACGGTAGAGGTTTTGTCATTCCATAGGCGTTGAACTGCTCGTTTTGCGCAGTATTTTGTTTGCATGACCATGCTGACTGTGTATGGTGATTCAGGTCGTATGTGGTTTGCTTGCATCCCTTTTCGGCTGGCTTTGAATTGATCCAATGTTTTGCCCCCCATGGGGAATTCTTCTTCGTGTGATTTCATTTCGTTCATCATTCTCTTGAATATCTTCGAATCTTTAAAGTATTTCTCAAATTCTTCGGGAGTCCTAGGAACTTTTTTCTCGAAGCCCGGTCTCACTTTTCGTTCCGAGGTATTAGTGATTGATGTCAAGAAGTCACCAGTAGTTTGTCGGCTATAACCAGTCAGCATTATTCAACTAGATGCATACATCTGAAGTGCTTGAACTCATCACCGCGTGCACTTACCTAGGACATTCCCAACCCATATCTATAAAGTATTGTTTGGCTTGGTCGCATGGTCCGAAATAGATTTGACGACCTTCATAAAGTACAACGGCCTTATCGAACTCTTCATAAATCTGTTGACTAGCCTGATAAATCGCAACCAAATGACATGAACCACAAAGATTGGCAGTCATCCGTAAAGATTTTGTGAACTGACACTTGGGTTAGTGATACTATCCATTATAATGTGGAACTTTACTTACCTCCAGAGCAGTTGCGGCATCCAAACCACGAGTAGAGTTATCCCATGAAGCAATAGGAGATCCAGCCAAAGCCATCTCGGCAATACTGACACGTTTCCTCTCACCTCCAGACACACCTCGCACGAAATCGTTACCGACTTTAGTATTGTAGGTATGGGATAGTCCAAAGACAGCCATAACAACCTTGGTCATATGCTTCGCCCAAGCCTCACGAGTTGTTCCATCGACAAGTCTTTGTTGGGGTGTTCGCACACTTGCAGCGAATTCTAAAGTTTCTCCAACAGTCAAATGAGGGAAATGCTTATCAACTTCTTGATTATACACTATTTCGCCTCGAAATTGTTTGAGCATTTGCTTTTGTGTGATGCCTATAGTTATTAACATCAACCACGATCAATGGGCATAAAGAGTATCACTAACCATTATAATGGATCTCTGACTGTGGCTTCATATCCAAGCCATAAAGTTCTCCCATCAAAGCCTTGAGGAAAGTGGAACAACCTGAACCAGGTCTTCCGAGAACAATCAACATCTCTCCTGATTTCAGGACACCATTGAAATCGTTTAAGATAGTCTTTTCTGTACCTTTTCCGAAAAATTCTCGAAATCGTAAAGGTGCCATCAACAGCGAACCCACATTCTTCTGTACATTAATCGCTGATCCAGAGCCGCATACTTTGAGATCTTTGAACACAATTCCAGCACGTCTTTGTATTACTTGGTTCTCATCAGTCAATCTCATCATCCTATACATTTCATTAGTTTTTCGTCCAAAACATTTTAAGGCCATGATGTAACTTACATTTTTGTCCATTTATTAACATTAAAATCTGGAGAGCTGGGGTCCAACATTGAATCCCCCAACTTGACCCCAGCCAAGGTATCCTGCCTTTCCAATGCATCACTTCCAGTTGTATTGTTGGTAAAACTTCGTCCTATTTGAGAACCTCCAAATCCTGAAGCTATTCTTTTCAATTCTTCTCGATCCCCTGCCTTTATTGGTTCGAACTCTTTCTCCCTAGCAGTTTCGTTGGTTCGAGTAGGCAGCAATGTGGAATCGAAATCTGTGGAGCTATCGGAGGTGGATGGTACTGTTTGTGTGGCTTCATTTTGGTGATGTGATGCAAATTCGGAATTGAAGATATTATCTGATGTTTCAGAGAAATAATCATGGCGTCCAGAATCTTGAGCAGAAGCCATATTGGCTCTGTGGTTGATGAATGTTGGTTGAAGTGAGGTCACCCGTATTTAAAGTAAAGTCGTCACTGATAATGAGATATTGAGATACTGAGTAGAACAAAACAAAACAAAGGGAAGCGTAAACTAAACGTTCCTTTGGATTTCAAAAGATTTGATGAAGACTAATTCTTCATACAACTTAAAAACTCCTCTCTAATTCATTTGATCTGGGGAAGCTATTTCTTTTGTATAAATAAATATTACTGTATAATGTATAATCTAGCGGTGATAGGACCGCCGAACGGAGGATGGCTTGTTCATTGACTTCAAAATAATATGGATGACGGAAAGTGCAAATAACGGAAACCATAGTTGATATTCAATGTCCGTTTGTTTGTGAAAGTTGTGCACACAATAAGAACCCGAGTTGAGAATTAGACTTCGCTCTAATCAACGAAACTTGGAAGATGGGGACAAATGTTGCTGATCTTACTAGGTATATTTTGTTTAGAAAGCTTAATCAGTAAGCTGTTTGCATATACGAGTACAAATTTGGAATTCTTGCAATGTTCTGGAATGTATAAAGAAGGAAGATATAGTTTCTCCATCCCTAATCAATTCCGGGGTCTAGGGGGTCTAGGGTACTTTCTCCCCAAAAACTGATATCCGAGTCTAGATTTAGAAAAAAAACTACGAAGAGGGAGTAGCCATTCCCACGCTCCGTTCCACCGTCTCGGTGGACTATGAGTGCCTCTCGATCCTAGAAATTATATATCATAGATTGTTAATAGATTTAATTGGTTCATCCTTAATCAGTGGAAATTCGGAAAAACATGGGGGAACTCTAGCCAGCATTATGACGAAATATCTTCTAAGGGTGAGAAACTTTAATTCAAATGATTTTTGTTTAATATTGTCCGACCCTCCGCCTCCGTTTTCCATCCTCCATCTTTTGACTGATAACGGAAGCAGATTGAGTGATTCCATCCGGTCCGGACCACTTTAAATTGAACGTCGTTATTCCAGAACCACAGGCTTGGATTCTTTTCTCTTTATGCATAAAGGAAGGATACTGTTACCGGTATCCGTTCAATAGGGCTGACAAGTACAGTAACACGACAATACCGCTGCAAGGATAATTAATTTGATGGAACAACAAGAACCTTCGAATACAGTAATAATCCGCATGCATCTGAGACTTTGAATCGCCGAGCCTTCAACCGGGTCGAGATTCTTCCCAAGCAACGATCAGCCACTTACATACGCCGCCTAGACATGAACGAACTCAGATTAGACGCTACCCGCATAAGAAACCTCGGTCTGTTCAATTCACAACTATGTAATGATTCGTTTAGGACAACTCTCTTTTCTTCACGGCTTTTCAACAAGATTACAAGATGAAGCTGTTTGCCGCCTTTTTCTTGGTGATGTTCTTACCTAAAGGCAAGGACTGGTCGAGTTCGGTAGACTACTCACGATTTTGATCATCGAGGCTGATAGATTGAACCCTTTCTTCCATGAGATATGGAGTCATGTCTAAATGATCGTCCTTTCTTATTCCGCTTTCCTTTTTCTCCATGTCACAAATGGGAAAATTGAACTATCTCACGTGATCATTTTATCACATGACGCTGTGCACTTCCACCATCATATGGTTTTAGCTCGAGGGTTCTGTTAACGCAAAGGTCTTTGGGTAATCGACGACAGTTGTGGTGGGCACAAGAGAGATGAAGACGCCAAAAAGGGGTAACACGTTCGCAATTACAATGCCATCATTGCTTTTGAAATGATATTTTGCATGCATTGAGTTTCAAAACAAGGATTTCCCCTTCAAATTCAGCGCCATGTTCACCGTGCATCATGTGCTTGCAAGACAACATGAAACTGCAATTCGTCCATTCTACATCAAAATTATAAGTTGTTCAAAGGAAGATAATTTATTATTCTCTTTCTCGAATGTTTTCATTTCGTTCTCATATTTCAAGTCTTAGTCAAGTCAGCTCAGATTCAATACAGATGGCAAACCGCGTATATTATGAACTCTCAGCGGAGGCAGTAGACGTTTCAACCAACCCAATTTCTCAATCGCGACAACAACAACAACAACAACAACAACAGTCTTCGTTATCCCTCAGAAAACCTTTGACTCCTCCGCCAGATAACGATGAGCCATCGACAATTCGAGGCGTTCCAGGAGATGAGCTATCTTTAATTCCCCAAAAACTATTCACGCGACGATCTAAATCGAATCTCCTGAGCCAATCTAAAGAAAATATCATCACCGAAACTATATCAACAAACCCCTTCAATCGACCTATCTCCACAACTCCATCTTCAGAAACCAACACTTCTACCGCCGACATCTCACTACATATTCCCGGTTCCAGACTAAACCTAAATTATAATACTGGCCCAGCTCTTCCACCCCGAAGAATCTCTCAATACAATCCAAATGAAGTACACTACACCCGAGACTCCCACAGGGTAATCGCATATCTCATACCACTCCCCAAACCCATCAATGTTTCCGATGCAGAATTTCCCCAGGTTCGTTCTCCTTTGATTTCATATTAGCATTCTACTAATAGGCACTCAGCGCTATCTAATCTACACACCACCCGCAGCTCATCTTCTCGAACCAGCTGAGGGAATCAAAGAAGGAAATCGCCATAAGGGGAAACGTTTCTGGCAGCGCGAAGTACGCTCCCTTTCGCAATTTAATACCGTGACTTGACTTACATGCTACATAGCTGACCATTCCCTCACTACTCTAGGTAAAAAAAGCCAAAACATATGATGGCAAAACCATGAGTCTCAAGGGTCTCCATAGTAAAACCACCCGAGGTGTATTGCGGGGGATTGATTCCATTAAAAACACGGACATGACATTCCTCAACCGCGTCCCCCGAAAAGGTAAATCTCCCTCCATCTCAGCCCTATCCCCACTCCATCCACTCTCCATTCCCCTAAACTATCCCCTAACCCCCTTTCAGAAATCGAAGAACTCCACCTAATCTACCCCTCCACAACTCCCCACTCCCCCTCCGACCTCCGCACCCACTTCCTCACCCACCTAACCCGGTCGAAAACCCTCTCCAAAAAACACGTCGCAATCTCCACTCTTCTCCTCCTCCCCACCCTCTTAATCTCCACCCTTTCCACCATCATTTGGCCTTTCGGCGGTCTCTTCGAAGTAGACGCTATATGGACTTATACATCTATCCGCGGGTACCTCGTGTCCCGCTCCATTACCAAACGACTCCTTTCTCAAGACACCACACAAAATCACAATCAAAACTACAACTACAGTCACAACCACAACCACGACCCACCACCCTCCATCCAAGACCGCGAACTCCATCTCCATCTCCAACAAAATGAAGAAATAAGAATACTCGAGAAATACGTACAGGAATTATGCCACACGGTAAACCCAGCGAGGTTTGCAAGCCCCGGGATGTCGATTACGGAAGACCAGGTGTTGAGAGCGATGGGATGGGAGCCGGATTTGAGGGGTAGGGTGAGAAGTGGGGAGAGGGGGGGTATGCCGGAGGGAGGGGTGAGGGATTGGGATGATGAGAGGTGGCAAGAACGGGAGGCGAGGGATGATTTGGTGGGGGTGTTGGGGAAAGAGGCGAAGAGTTGGGATGGTTGGTGTAAGAGGTGGGAGAAGAATCCGAAGAAGGCGGAGAAGAGGTGAGGTGAGGTGAGGTGTGGTGGGGTGAGCTGGGTCATCACTGTGCGGATTCAAGTATGTATTCAAATGACCGCTTAGATGAAGAGTAGTCGCGCCAATTCTTACCATACACAGTGATACCGAGGCCTACTGTCCTAGCACGTGACAAAGAAAACATCATGATCGAAATCCAACAACTCCCCTGAACCCCAATCCAGCCAGGACATCCATACCCATGAACGAATCCAAATAAAACCCACAAGTCCCAAACATAAACATCATCGATCGGTATTACTATATGTAAACCCAACAACGAGAACCAAAATCACTCTACTATTTACTGCAACTCCGTATGCGTAAACTCAGCAACGAGTGATTCAGGTTTCGGGCCTGGAACTGGATAATTAACGGTATGAGAAAGGGGCAAAAGAGCTGCGACGATGACAAGTGTCCAAAATGGGAGGAGAGTAATGGCGAAGATGGGGGTGAGAGGACTGGAAGTACTATGAGGAAATTTCATTGTGAGGTTGGTTGTGGATTATGTTGTGAATGTATGGACTGGTGTGACGTTAGCTAAAGAGTCAAGATACCGTGTGAGGAAAGATGTGATGTACTTACTCTCTGGTATAGGAATTGAATATTGGAGGAAAGCGATCTCTCTCGTTCGGGGATTGCGGTTGTGACTTTGGAATGAGTTTATAACGTCGAAAAGATGATTCGTCTTCTCTTGTTTTGTTGGGAATAGTCGCGTTACTTAATTGCCCTTCATTCTGGCATCTTGGGTCTGTTCACATAGCGGATTTCTTGTTCTTGAGCGATTTTGAGAAGTATGAATATGAATCTTGACTTAGAATAATTCACTACGAACTTCCTCGCCTCGAAAATATTCTCCTATACTGAGTATTGGTCAGAGTAAAGTCGAAATTTACGAGAAATTGGAAGCAAATATAGCCACGCGAAGAAATCGCACTTTGATAGCGACGACGGTAAAGCAAGGATAACTTCCAACTTTCACAGCAGATATATTAGTTGATGTTTTCCCCCCATCTTTCGAGAAGCTTGGCACATATTGAAGCTTTTTCTTTACATTCCAACAATGTCATCGACGCGCATTTTCGCGATTGAGAAGGTTGGTGCTTTGGGGAATGTAATATTTGAAGTAATGCTTGGCATACTCTTCAGTTAAATACCCACCCCCAAACGGAGGAGGTAGGATTGCCCAAGTCAATGTGAATAGCTAAAACTCATCACTTCAAGTGAAACAACTCCTCACTGACGGGATAAACAATAAGACGAGCCAGGTACGAGACATCTCAATATTCACTTGATATGTATGTAGGCATGCCTCATCATGCCCATCGCATCCCAACTCTTCTCATCTCATCTCTTCGCATCCCATCTCTTTAAAGCGACATCATCATAGATCGGAGCTAACCCATCAGCCGATCTGAAGATCTAACAATGAATATACCCAAAATCCAATATATTGCACATCTGGAAAAACATCCCTGTCCAACCTCCCAAATTACTAAAAGAACCAATAAACTAACGAGCGCAAACGGGCCTAAGCTTTGCGCTCATCAATCTATTGGTACTTCAACCACATGGAGATCTATAAAATCTCAAGCTAGAGATCTTTAGATCAGTGGCTTGACTCAAGAGATCCACATGCATAGCTTCAGAAAGAGAAATTGGCCAATAGATAGACGATCGCAATACAGCTTCATTTTCAGACGTGCAACAAAATGGGTAAAAGTACACGTGATTGGATGGGGTGGGAAAGAGACGAGATGGAGATGGGACGATTAGTGAATAGTACTAGACTGCTGATTCCACGTGGCGAGAGTGAATCTAACAAACGAATAGCTCTGATGTTCGCTAAATGTAGGAACGGGAGGTATATGTGGGGAGGAGATGAATAAAGTCATACATATACGATGAAGAGGGGATTAACTATACTACAGGAAATGGAGTGATCTTCGCATCCACTTTCATCTATAACAGAAAAACTAAGCTAGCTCCAGGTATTCACTTCCATTGCAGCTCTTTGTGAGTATATGTGTTGTAACTCCACTCATTGTTGTAAATTATAGTTGACTATGACGGTGAATGTGAGCATAAAAAGCAACGCCCCAAACTATACCATTCGATTTTAAGTGTCAGCTGGATCATCTGGGGGGAGGTACATGTTTTATACAAAGATCATCCATCATTGAACCCCAATCAATACGAATGCCGCTGGGAATTATTGAAATAATGGGGAAGATCACAGATTCCAAATAAATCCTTGAATTGTGATAAACTAGGCTTGGGGTATTGCTCGAGGTGCATCTTGACATGTGATAGCTCAACCTGCACTTGCAGAATAAGTATAGCTCAACCCTTTAGAGCTTTCCTTCCAGCCCAATCTATTAACCATGTAGGAGATTCTCTCAAGAAACTTCGACTACATGGCAATATTAAAGACGCTTTTCAACCACGCAGATTGTTCTACTCGCTTGAACTGATTTGTTCGAATTACTGAATAACATTGACTAGCGTACTGAAGATGGATTGATTCAAGCGGTGTTTGAACGTAATCATAACAGGTTATCAAGATGTATTGTGTTCTTCTATCATTGAAGCAGGGTTGGCCTGTAATCATACCATGTTTTCGAGGTGAATAATGCTGTTCTCTCATTGACACTGACAACCGTGTGGTACGATTCTAGGAGCTCAAACTCTTTCTCGTCCATAAAGGTTGGTCTCCCCTCACCAATGATACCTTCCCATACGAGCTCGAAAAATACTCAACACACACTTATCTCTCCGACTAACAACGCACCACGTCCACTAAGACCTCATACTTCTCCCATCGCCTCATAGGTACTCACGTACAATGTAAGTATGAAAAGAAACCGCTTGCAAACAAACAAAATTGACACTACCTCAGCCCTAGTCACAATCCAAGTTTGAACTTCGAAACACCTTCCATCAACCCCAACATGATCTTCTTTAACCCAAGCAGCATCATGCGCAACATGATTGCATTCCTCTCCATCCTCGTCCTCACTGTCTTCGTCACCACTGCGACCCCAATTTCCGAAGACGAGGGTTCCACCATTCTACCTCGTGCTGTGTTGTGCAAACTCGCTGCAGGTGGTTGGTGTACCCTAAGTGTCGCCAACACACCCGGGAGAATCAAGAATAAGCAGGGCACTGATTACATTTGGCTTTGGGACAGCCAGTGTAACCCGATTGGGGGTGGTTGGGTCGGTCTCAATATTGACCTGGCCAGTCAACTTAGGTATAAAATTATTGGAATTAGAGCACACGATAGCAACTTGAAGAATATGCCAGACTTTTAGTATGCAGGTGCCATCATATGATTGGAAAGATCGATGCTGGTACCAAGTCAGCAATCCGGGAGGTCAGAGGATTAATATCTGCCAATTCAATTGTATGCAACCATGAGCAATGCTGATAGTAATGGGATTTGTTGCAAGGTTTTTGTCTTTTTTGAGAGGCATATCACTCAGCATTGCTGGCATTGCTGACGGATATGCCTAGGATCTCCTTTCGCATGGATTTTTCAAGCATTGTTTGGATTCAAAGTTTTTCCTTATCTCTCCCTCAGCCGGTCTGACATCTTAGGGAGTTTTTGACATCATGATACTCATCTCTGATTTGCTCTCGGATTTTTCGGGTCTTCCCGCCTGATTTTGTAGCCGATCGATCGGCTTCTGCGACTTCTGAACGGGTAGGCGCTTCATATGGTGAAAATTCCAAGAAAGCCCAGTCTACTTTCAATATCTGCGTTTGTTCCATGTGCAGATTTTGCTTTGATTTGAAATTGCAATAAACAAAAATGCAGAACAAAATACTCGTAACGCGTTCATACAAAAATCAACTTTGCCCCCTAAAATTATATATCCATACAGTAGTTGTACCTCGGCTCATTTAAGCGCTTCGGGTCAACCGAGAAATGAACAAGAACTTTCTTCAGGTTTCGGACCTTTTCATTCCTTTTTTAATCCGTTAAATAAATTTGTAGATAAAGTTTTGATCTTGGCAAACAGATATTCTATACTAATCATGGTTAGTATGTTCAAATATGCCTAAGCATGAGTTCCGCCTTTCGTGCGTCAAAGATACTGTAGATCTAGAACGACCGTGCAATGATTTTGGACCCCTGAACAACAACATCTTTCATTCATTTGATTGGTTGTTTTGTCGTTAAACTTAAAAGATGTAGTAGAAAACCTTTGAGCGTGCCGAGGTTAAGTGATGTTTTCATGACGATATGACCACAGTGGGTCAGTGGAGTTGTGGACTTTATATGGGTTTGCATCCTTCTAGCCACTGAAACTTTCATCCTACCCGGAGATTATTCCGTAGTAGAGAAATGGAATAACAACATAAGGAGGATGTCTCGCATCATGGATATTCTTTTCATCCATTCCAAAGATTGTGATCGTCCAAGTTCGAATTCCTCCATTGGATTTTTGATCTTTTTCGTGCAAAATGTTCGACTTAGCACCCCATCCCTCCGCACCCGTCGTTATCGCAACGACCCATAAATCATATCGATTAGGGAAAGATAGAGGATTGCCACCGCATCTTGTAGGAGAGCAGAGCAATTATCTCGTCGAGTTAACAGATGAGAACGATCCTGCCAATGCAAAGTCATGGACTTTCAGAAGAAAAATGAGAACTGCTGCAGTTCTAGGATTTGATACTCTTATTGCATCATGGGGTTCTTCCGTGTACTCAGCAGCCGTGACACCAGTTGCCATGGAATTTGGTGTCAGTAGTATCGTGGCTATTCTCGGTCTGACGTTGTATATTTGTGGTTTCGCTACCGGTATGTCTGTTCTTTCGATTTGCATTATACATATGGCTAATGAGTAAATCTTTCAGGTCCATTGTTTTTTGGTCCAATCTCTGAACTCTATGGTCGAAAGACTCCGGTCACTGGAGCATGCTTTGTCTTCACCTGCTTTATGTTCGCGGCGGCAACCGCAAAGGATTTCCAGACATTGATGTTATGTCGATTCTTCGCAGGTGTTTTCGCTTCTTGTCCATTGGCTGTTGTCGGTGGTGCCTTTGCCGATATGTTCGGAAACGAGACTCGAGGTATTGCCATTGCTTGTTTCTCGGCACTAGTCTTCGTTGGCCCCTTCCTCTCGCCTATTGTTGGAGCATTCATAACGCAATCATATCTTGGCTGGAGATGGACCGAATATATCACGGGTATCATGGGAGCTTTAGCTTTGATTCTCGACATCTTGTTTCTTGAGGAAACATACAGCAAAACACTTCTCCAAAGCCGAGCTGGAAAGATTCGAAAAGAGACTGGCAATTTTGCCATTCACCATATCAGCGAAGAAGAGATCATCACCTTCGATGGTCTAGTCAGAAAACACTTCTTACTTCCATTCAAGCTTCTTTTTGGAGAACCAATTGTTTTCCTCATCACCCTTTATACCGCCTTCATATATGGTATCTTGTACCTCTTCCTGGAAGCATATCCTATTGTGTTCGCCGAATACCGTGGGATCAACCCAGCAGTTGCAACCCTTCCCTATCTGGGTATGATCGTCGGTGTTCTCCTCGGCTGTGGTATCGTCATTGCCTTCGAGCCAAGGTATAACCGCAAACTCAGGGAGAATAACGGGGTTCCAGTTCCAGAGGAGAGACTTGTCCCAATGATGGTCGGTGCCTGTCTGTTCCCTTGTGGTCTGTTCTGGTTTGCATGGACAGGAAATTATCCTTCCATTAGCTGGGCAGCTCCAACTGTTAGCGGTATATTGACTGGCGCTGGTATCATGACCATCTTCCTCCAGGCTTTGAATTACCTTATCGATTCATATTTAGCCGTGGCAGCCAGTGCCATCGCGGCCAATACTTTCCTTCGATCCTTCTTCGGTGCCGGGTTTCCACTGTTCGCCACAGCAATGTTCCACAATCTCGGGGTACAATGGGCTGCTAGTTTATTGGGTTTCTTGGCTATCGCGTTTCTACCAATTCCTTTCTTGTTCTACAAGTACGGTGAGAGATTGAGGAAGATGTCCAGCTATGCTCCGACCGATTCTGGTTCACCTAAAAATCAGCCAAGCGACGAAGAGTCTGGCACTGCAGTTGCCACTGCAGCACCTTCTATTGATGAAGACAAACAGGAGGTGTAATGTAATGTGTTATGATGATGGAAACACTTGTATGTCGGGGAGATGATTGATATGAAGTACACTCATCTATGTTTTCTTATTCATAGACTATTTTGCATCGTTGCATTTTGATGGCGTTGTTGGTATTAATACCCGGTAGAAAGAGGCGGAGCGTTGCATTTTTAGATGAAAATAGTTTGATAGTTTTCGTACAACTTATACACCTTAATTTATATATCAAGATTAGATCTCAACTCAGTGTTTTATGTATGATATGCTAGTGATTGAAGGTGAAATAGAAAAGTTGTTGAACCATCCCATATCGTGTTTCGTGGAAAGTGCAAGCAAATGAAGATATATTTATTTAGTCTTGTGGCTTGCACGTGACCTGTGCAACATCCAATATAACTACCTCCCCTCTCCGACCGACAAGTTGGACTTCTAAAAGCAATTCAAGTCGTACACCCTCACTGTCCACAACCATATGTCACTACCCCGCTTTCATGTTACATCGTTACTTGGTTTCTACCACCATGCGTTATGCATCATACATATCGATTGTGAACTTGATAGGGCATCGCAAGGAGTACCAGTACATGTTCGCTGTCTGATGATAGCTCGGTGTAAGTATCAGTGGTTATCGCGTCTGGCATATGCATTTTCGAGAGTTCTGCTCCTAGTGGCTATATATTCACGATTATCCTCAATTACTCGACAAGTTAGTCGCTGTAGCCTTGTCGAGAAAATGCCACATCTTCAAGATCTTGGGCTTCTGCCTGACTGGATGTCATTCTACTACTTCATACTCATACTTCTTATTACAGCGTTGATACTGAATAGATATCTCGTCTGGTCTCGCCTTCGACACATACCCGGGCCACGGTTTGCTCCATTCTCAAATTATTGGATACTACGAGCAGCTTTATCTGGAAGAATTCCACAACTACTCAACGATGTGTCCGAAACATATGGTTGGTGTTCATTTTTTACTTTGAGTTGACCCTCTTCATGCTTATTCACTCCATAAGGTCCACTGGCACGTATAGGGCCAAATGATCTTATTTGCAGTGATCCGGATGTCATTCGACGTATGAGTACCGCAAAATTGGGATATCGAAGATCAGAATACTATAGATCTTTCGCTTTCAATCCCGATCGAGATACTATGATATCGACTAGAGACGAGAAGATCCATGCCGATTTGAAAGCCAAAACCGCAGCAGGTGTAGGTTTTCCATCTAATATTACCCGATTGATTGTTTTACTAACTTTCCTGATTAGTACTCTGGCAAAGGCATTGAAAACCTAGAGGAATCTATCGATAGACAAACTGATGCATTCATCGGCTTGATTGAGCTAAAATACCTTTCAACGCCAACAGATTTCCGACCTGTTGACTTTGCCAAAAAAGTGCAGTATTTCACATTGGATACAATCACAGATGTAGCTTTTGGAAAACCCTTCGGATGCCTTGGTCAAGATGGCGATATGCATGAGTACATCAAGACTGTTGACGAACTGTTACCGGCTGCTGTAATTGCAGGCATCTTCCCATGGTTGTTGACCTTAACACGAAGCGTGATTTTTAAGCCGTTTGTAGCAACCGAAAAAGATAAATTTGGGTTTGGAAAAATGATACAGTATGATTGGTACACCCATCTTCCAAGTATGAGCTGACCAGAAACAGAGTTGCGAAGGACATTGTTGCGGAGCGATTTGGAGAAGCCAGAAAGACTCGAAATGATATGCTTGGGTCTTTTGTTGCGCATGGTCTCAGTCAAGAGGAAGCAAATTCAGAGACATTGCTTCAAATGTTCGTCTTTTCCATTTCTTTGCCCACTCGTCAGATGTTGGAAATTGATGAAGAAACAGAATCGCCGGCACAGATACAACAGCAACGGCAATTCGGGCAATGTTACTTTACATCACAACCTCTTCATCTTGCTACACGGCTTTGCAAGCTGCCATTGACGACGGTGTTAATGGGGGTAGAATATCTTCCCCTATTACCGATGCTGAAGCCAGAGCACTTCCTTATTTGCAAGCAGTTATCAAAGAAGGTCTTCGAATATTCCCAGTAGTCGCGGGTCTACTTCCAAAACAGGTACCCGAAGGTGGCGATATTATCAATGGCTTTAAAGTCCCGGCTGGAACTAACATTTCACTATGTTCAATCGCCATCACACATTCGAAAGCTATATTTGGGCCCGATGCAAATATTTTCAGACCAGAAAGATGGCTCGAAGTTAAGGATCATGACAATTTGAAAAAAATGAATCTTACAGCCGACTTGGTTTTTAGCTCTGGGAAATGGTCATGTTCTGGGAAAAATATAGCCATGATGGAGATGGGCAAGGTTCTTGTTGAAGTAAGTTTCTTTTACAGTAAAAGATATAACAAACTAATACCAGAAAGTTGTTTAGGAGATTTGATATCTCTTTGGTAAACCCGACCAATCCGTGGAAATCATTCAGTGCTGCAGCATATATCCAATCTGAACTTTTTATGCGGGTCGTGGAAAGAGCGCACTAATAAAAGAGAGGTTGGAAAATTGCAACACGCCAGATTCTTTACGGCTAATAGGGTATCGAAGCAGTGTCATTGTCCCGAACACAGGCTAAGACAAGAACCACACCTGTATCGTTGTAAAGTCAACCTTATTTAGGGGAAGCGACTGTCTAAATGTTTCAATTTATGTTTCGAGGGAGAACTTTTTCCATATTCATTCACTCTTCTTAAGCAAACACTAGAATTTCCTCAAAGGAATCTATCCAATATGACATACCTGAGAATATGAAGTTAACTATTTTTCCATCAGTGGTCGGTCTGAACTTTCAGTCTTCCAAATCACCAAATCACGTATCCTTCCTTATATTCCCAGCTTCCCTTCCTCTAGCCACAAAAAGTTCAAAACAAACTAAATATTCACAAAAAGATGGGTGAATTAAACCCACCCCAAATACAAACCCAACTAGTTCTAGTTCCCTGGTTCACATGCGAGAGTGATTCACAATAAACCATCCAATATCTTCATATGTTAGTCACCTCCAGTCAGTCAAAGGAAAACCGAATCTTCTCACCTCCACAACCATACAACCCAAATCCTCGAAACTAAATCATGCACTTCTACCGTACCAAGTTGATCTATATTATTTAGCACCGTACCGTACCGATTTCGAAACAGACCTACAAATCTCGCAATACGCACTCCTTTCCTTTTTTAAACAACGATAACATGGCATCTTTCCAGCATTCCTTCTCATAGCATAGCATAGCGTTCAACTTTATCGATATTTCAACATGCAACAGAATCCTGACACACCTTCGACTCCTCACCCTCTCCACAAACAGCAACGCACTTCATCCTTCCACTCCATCTTCCCCCTTTCATCGCTAAATCCCCTCCGTACCCTCCTAAGCCGCGCCCCATCCCCCGACCCCTCAAACAGCACGACCTCGGCCCCAACCACCACCCCCCGCATCCCCCAAATCCACCCCCACGAATACCCTACCTACCAATCTTCCACCCAACTCCTCAAAACCTTCACCTCCTGCTCCATCGCTCGATCTCGTTGTCTAGCCGCGCGGATTCCTCTTGAGTCCAATTCCAGTTCCAATAACAACACAGATACATACCGCAGTATCCACTGCGGCGATCAAACGTGTTGTTTTGCATCCCCGTATTCTTTCTATCGCTCACGATCAGCATCCTCTAGGAGTAAACACCGCGCTCAAACTCGTTCCCGCTCGATTTCAAATCCTAACCTGCGACTTGCACCTTCCCCACCTTCCTCCCCTCTGCATCCTTTCCGCAGATCCCTCACTATAACCGGGAGTTCCAAACGCGCCACCTCGCTCTTCGAAGGGAGTCCGCCGCCTGCCGCTGAGAAATCTCTTAGTGGGGGTGCGCCTTTATATGAATATCCCGAGCCAATTGGAGCGCGGAGTTCTAGTTGGTTAGGTATCAATATTGATAAGGAACGGATGATGGGAATGGAGTTGGAGCGATCGAAGAGTGTGAGTTGGGCTCCGGAGACTGGGGGGTTGGGTACGAGGAATAGAATGGCGAGACAATTTTATCGACCGAGTGGATTATCGATGTTTTCGTGGACGGCGGAGGATGCTAAGGGTAGTGAGTTGGTGATTGGAAGGAATGGGGGAAAGGGTGCGGGGGATGAGGGAGAGAGGGAAATTGCTTATGAATGGGATGGGGCGTTTGGGTGGATGCAGGCTTGTAGGGAGTGTGGGAGGGAAAGATGTGTCGAGTGTTCTGGGGTGGTGTTTGAACAGATTGTTGGGGAGGGAGAGACGGTGACGGGGGTGGAGGCTATGTATAGTATTTGTACGCCATGTGTTCATGGGTTTTGTCCTGGGACGAAAATGTGGTTGAGGGTTAGGTGTCAGAAGTGTGGAGAGGTAGGATGTGAGGGATGTGAGGATATGAATGCTAAGAAGGGATAGTTGTGGTGGCTGGGGCTTATTGGTAGTGACAATTGGTAGAGTGAATGGTTGGGATTTATTAATAATGAAAATGGTAATGATTGGGGTGAATAATTACTATATATATCCTTGATATAGTCCAGCATTTCTATTACAGTGATGATTCACTATTCTTCGTTTCCACCACGATATTGGATTTCGAAGAACGAGCTGAGATCATTAGCCATCCTAGAGGTTGGAAGAGTGAGTCCATAAAGAGAAGCTAGATTTCGTGAGACGGAAACACTTGAATGTCTAGTATAACCCCAGAGATGAAGCCAATCTAAATTCAGCCTACCTTTCAAAACATATAAACATTTGATACAGAACAGAGTTCCGAGTTGCTAAGGCAAACTCGCCTCAACAGAGCCAACTTAAAGGGTGAAATCATTGGAAGGGGCTAGGTCAAATAAGGACATAGTGATCCGATTATTTGAAGAAAACTTCAAGAGCGGTTACCAGTTCACGCGAGCTGAATGACTTGAACAGTAGGAGTTTAGCACCCCCGCTACATTTGCGATATCCTCTACCCGTTCTCTTGATATCTACTATATATCTCTCTCATGACAATCGATCCTCATTACTAAGCTCCTCAAAAGAGCTATAATATCTGGCTCTTCCTTCATACCATCAAGACAACAACCCAGAGCCATAGAGATAGGTATAAGAAACCCACATCAATATAAAATGTACTTATGAGAGGGTTATGATACAACAAAGTGATGTGAAATATGTTTCGATGCGAGTTGGGTAGATTGTGTTATTGTGTTATTGTGTTAACCACCGAAGAAGAGGGTTGGGAGGAAAGATATGATATGAATGAGAAATAAATTAATAAAACATGTTGTGGTTCTGTGCTTTCTGAGTCAAAATATGAGCATCGCTCATCCACTTCATCTTTACCCACATATAAAATCGTCTTTTGATCTCCTCCCATCTCTTACCTCAAACCAAATAACACGAAACTAGAACCCCACTTTAGGATCAATATATATACAGACTTCACACCACTGTAGCTCCCTCTTAACTCACCATCTAACAAATTAAACCTTACAATGAGTAATCCCTGGTTGTACGGCAACTTATATGACGACCGACCCATGAATCTATTTAATTCACAGCTCGTACCACCAGTCGCACGTGGAAACCAAAACTATCCAAATGGCCATCCCTCAATGCAGCACTTTGCGGATCATACAACACATGCCAGAATGATATGGGGAAGAACCAGACCGCCAGCTATGCAACCCAGGGCTAGACCAATCACGCACCGGTGTGTGATTTTCTTTCTGATATGTAAGTCTTGTTGACTACTTAACAAAAAATTTAGGGGGTTTACGAATCTTCCTCTAGGCTGGGGCCCGAGATAGTAGATTGACGATGGGTGAGATACTGGACTGGAGAGGGGGGTGTTTAGACAGAAGAAATGAATCGTTGTTTTCTATTGCATTTGAAAGATACTAGTGATGTATACGTTGGATGCGAAATGAGCATCCAATGATGTTGAGAGCTGAATGTGTAAGACTGATACACGGAATGAGTGTGGAAGATATCTCCGCTGATTTTCAGAAGTATAAGGAAAGCAAAGCGATTGAGCCATCACACCCAGAATTTTTCAAACTAATTGCGATTTTCAGCGGTTTCATTCATCAGAACTTTCTAATGGTCATGTACAGACATAACAAGCCTACAGACATAACAAGCCTTGAACCAGCGTTTTCTCTATGAATAAGGATGAGCCTGTCAACTCCAAGCTTAACATGAAGGCATCGAGATAACATTGATATATACCGCGATCGAATGAGGTAATATCACATATCGACTATAAACCCTGGCATTTACCACATGCAGCCGGTATACAAGGCTAGTTTGTGAAATTTGCTTTCCAGGTCTCACAGACTCAATCTTTGGTACGACCGCAACTTTCGGCGTGCAAGAAGGCTTTAGAATACCTGGCACAACTGCATGTGAGCATGAAGTCTGTAGTAAACTAACCTCATAATACAAGAGTTGCAGGTGCCTGGAATGTGATCATGAGAGCATTTGAGCCGTATAACGAGGGGGAAAGACGGGAGTGCAAACGGGTGGCACGTTTGATGCTACCACACATGCAAAAGCATGGAAAGCAGAGCGCAATTGAAAATGTGTAGATACCAAAATGCGATAAGTACGATCAAAAATCGATATTCTAAGTCAAAACATAGCTTCTATGTAATTCAAAGCTGATGACTGAGTACCTACTCGAATATAGTTCTCAAGAATGTTGAAGTGAGAATAACCAAAATTTCGAGAATGTGGTCCGAGCTCATATCACACACGTGATCAAATACCTCAGGTTTCAAACTTATAGATCCCCTAAATTGCTATTATCAACGACAAACATCAATTCATCACAGCTTTATGAATATCTAACAACTCTCTCTCTCCTCTTCTTCTATTTTATCTACATCTTATGGCTTCACAAGTAAGTCTCTCACTATTACCGTGGGGCTGGTATGAAAGTAACCATCAAATGGCGAGTTCATACGTTCTTATGGTAGCAAGAGTTCCTCCTTGATCTCCATATATCTCTTCCATCCCCGTCTTTACCAATCATTCATACTTCTATATATGATTATTATCACATTTCTTATCATTCCGGTAAGTTTACAAGTTGTCCAGCCAAGTATTGGTGGTGCTATATCACTTCTTCTCTCCTCTTTGAACTCCCCTCTATCAAAATTCACACAAGCCTCGCTTCGGCCACCAGTCATCATCAAGGATTCCGAACAAGCAAGAATGGCTACATGCCTTTACCTTAATACTGTCAACTTTTGCAAATGAACGCGCTTTCTTCCTGTCAAACATCAACATACGAACTCGCTTTTCACGAAACATCAAATTTTCCACCTTAAACATCAACTTTTACCCTCATATTTAGCTTTATTCTCCATCTCTTACAATGGCTGGCGGCAAAGGAAAATCTTCTGGTGGAAAGTCATCAGCAGCGGGAGGCAAGGTTGGCGCAGAGGGAAACAAGAAGCAACAAAGTCATTCCAGTAAGGCTGGTCTTCAGGTTAGTATTGCGCAGCTTTGCGGTTTATCTTTTATTGCCGCTCTCAAACTTTACGATTTATCCCGGAGAGGCACGGAGACATACGATTTTTACCTTATCTACACCCCACCAAGTCGCGTCAACAACTCGATCTGCGAATAATCCCTTTGAACAATTACGAACCCATCGCGATGTAATCTGATTTCAATGATGATACATACCTATCTACAACTTCATCTTTTGCCCGAAAGTTTGTTGAGGAGACAATTCCGACGCGCCACCAAGATCAATGATACGCATACGCGAGATAAATTTTCTCGTCCTTTGGAAAACATCGACTTCGGACCCCTCTTATGTTTAGAGATGTTCCCCAATTGTTGAATCTGCAACATGCTAACAAATAATGCATTCAGTTTCCCTGCGGTCGTGTCAAGCGTTTCTTGAAGAACAATACCCAAAATAAGATGCGCGTAGGAGCAAAGGCCGCAGTCTATGTTACAGCCGTACTAGAATACCTCACTGCTGAGGTTCTTGAGCTCGCAGGAGTAAGCTATATCCGCACCCGACAACCGCCTGGAAAAAGCAATTACTAATGAATAAAGAATGCCGCCAAGGATCTCAAAGTCAAGCGTATCACACCCCGCCATCTACAACTTGCCATCCGCGGTGATGAAGAACTCGATACCCTCATTCGCGCAACAATCGCCTTCGGAGGTGTGCTACCACACATCAACCGCGCGCTCCTGTTGAAGGTAGAGCAGAAGAAGAAGAAGGTCGCCGAATCCGCATGATTATCGCAAACAGACACATCTACAATTCGTTTCCGCGCTCCGACTTTTTTTTGTGCTTTTCCTTCTTCTCTTTTTAAGGGTCAGAGTTTGATGGTGTCTTGGGGATATCTACTTTTTGTTTGGTTTCATAATGGAATTGCTTGCTTATCACGGATCGGACTATGAGATAGGATTATAACGGGTTACATGTGTTCATCCATAGCTATGAAGCTCAATTCGGCACAAGTCTTTTGTGGGTTGTTGGAATCACTCCAGACCGATGTACCACTAGCGATTTTGAATGAGATCGGATATTGCTTCAAATTCACAGCTGTAATGGTGATGGTCAAGAATCATAATGATGCAGTACTTTGATGATGAAATGGATCCCAATCCAATGCTAAATGTTATACGTTCCAAGCAATTCGCAGCACACACTCAGCATACATTCTATCCAGGACACACCGAGTTCCGAATACGCCAAAACTCCTCGAACACAACACATCTGGACAAACATCAAGGGAACAATACCCTCTGTCCCTCCCACGGGGTGACCTCATCAACCTCATCTTCATCATCACTATCCTCCACTGTATAAAACATCTTCAACGGACTACTAGGCGGACTCTCAACCTCGACACTCGCCCTCCGACTTGTACTTCCCTCCCCCTCTCCCTTGCCAACCCCCGCATCCCCCTCCCCATCCACCACCTCCCCCACCATCTTCCCATACTGCACCTCGGACAACTTTAACCCGGTAAGTTGTTCAATCTTCGCTATACTCTTTCGTTTCTTGACGCGAATGAATTCCCGCACATAGCCCTTTTCATCTTCTTCCGTTTCTTCTTCTCCTGCTTGATCATCGAGTTCAGGGGAGTACGCCACGCCCAATCCATCGGTTTTGGTTTCTTTGGTTTCGTTTTCATTTTCATTTTCGCGTTCTTTTCCCTTGGAAGATCCGTAATTGATGGCTGCAAAGGCGGTATGGCTCGTGAGAGGACTCACGATAAATTGCGCCTCGTGTTCTAATCCGCGTTTTTCAGCTTCGAGACTCCTGCGTCGTTCGCGTTCGGCGAGGATACTGAGATTAGGAGAGGAAATGGCGGGGATGAGATTGGAGGGGATATGTATTTCTTTAGGACGCGTAGCTGGTGGTGTCGTGGCTGCAATATCGAAGATCAATTGTTGATCTTCGCGTTCATCTTCTATACGTTGTCTTTCCTCGGGACTTATAGGAGAAATGGGGAAAATCAGCTCTGGTTCGCTCTTTTTCCTCGTGTTGGGTGTAATAGCCGAACGCAAATGGAGGGTTTGACATTCCGAAGGAAAATCGCAGTCGCGAAAACAGTCTTTGCCGATTTTGAGAGGGGGGACGAAGTGTGGATTGTGTAGGGAATGGGATTCGGATTTTAGGAGGGAGGTCTCGCGACGCCAGTGGTTGTAGTGTTCCCAGCCTGTGTAGTCGAATTCGGCGCGGCAGCCGCGAGGTTGGCGACGGCGTTTTTTCTTTTTCTTGGGGGGTGGGATGAGGGAGGGGAGGGATCTGGATGATGGGGATGGGGATACGGGGGAGTCGGAATGTGGGGATGGAGGCGGGGTGGGTAGGGAACAGAAGTAGTGGCCATCTTCGACTAATTGGAAATTGGGGTTAGTGGGTTGGTGGTACTTGATTGAGGGGTAGCGAGAAATGCTTACGGCAGCGACGTGTGACGCCGAGACGGTAGACGGAGTGACATATGTGACAGCGCCATATCCATGGGTATGGGATAGGAGGTGGGGGTTTGAGGAGATGTGGTGAGACGGGTGGACTGGGTAGTAGACTGCGTTGATGAAGTCGTCGAGGTGGGGTCAGTGGTGAGAGTGGTGAGGAGTGAGAAGTTTCATGTTTTAGGAGAGAAGGATAGCTAGGTACGGTTATAAACTGTGGTCGGCGATCCATCATACCTTCTTACGGTATCCTCGTTGTAGGGGCGAGTTAATTATCTGTTGATAATTAAGCTTGAATATCTTAAGGAATGGGTGGGTAGGTTGGGGGTTTGAAATCTGACGTGCGATTTCTTTGTTCGATGCTGGGAAGGAATTTCAACAATGTATTCGTACACGTAAAATTGAATGAGTTGACCAACGCCAACGCGATGTCGCCGACAAGAAATGATATTGAAGCTATAGAGATTCTAGATTTATTGGCGATGTCTCTTTGAAAGAATTCAGTACCTGCAGTACATTTCGTCACCGTGGCGTTACTTCTCTAGAACGTGTCTGCTGGTACTAGTATCGATGAAACAAACCGAGGCTTCGACGGAAACGTCCAAATTCCAAGTTTAAAAATGCCAATCAATGAATATGGTATTGCTTCTCAACTAAGCAAGCAGATTGAATCAGAATGGCAAGAAAATGTAGGAAAAATGAAACTCGCGCAAACGAGCAATCGAATTGAATAATAAACGAAATCCTTCACAGATGAGCATTTAAAGATTTACTTTCCTTCAATTGTCTCATCCTCAATCATTCGATTGGGGCTCTCCATTTGCTGATGATGAGTCTTTGTTCATGGGGGGCGTGACTTTTCTTTCATAAATATTGTAATCTTGCCTACTAAGATAGACTCGAAAGACGGGTGATATGATGTATGATTCATAAGTAGATAACAAAGGGAATATTTATGTTTGGAAGTAAGGATTGTCACTCAAAAATAACACAAAGGTCGCTGGCTGAGTTATGGCACTGAGGTCAGCATGAGGCTGGTAGGTTCCATGTACCGTTTTTCCAAGCCCGTCCTGGCCGTTTCATCGGAATATCACTCGAAATCATTGCATGTTTCAAGATGTGTTGGAGAATATTATGAATCAATTGAGCTGGGACATGGATTGAATCAAACTTCGAAAACAACTTTGCTTTGAAAGGGCATTAGTGGAGTGACCTATCATCTAGACGGATGTATATTGTAGTAGAATTTAAAAACCATTTGGAGAATGAAACAAAACCACAGTAGAACCTGGTTATACCGGATTCTGTTATACCAGAATAATTTATCGAATTCTTTGAATTTTGTATGGTGATATTTGTATTTTTAGTTTATACCGGAATACCGGATAACTTTTTCGAAAATCCGATATAAATAATAAGCTTTTATTGACTGAATTGATCTCAAAAATCTAATTAGATTATATTCTTCAATATTCTATGATTATATTTTTGAATATTATATGATTTATTTTTGATATATTTGTATAAAATCTGTATAAAATCTGTACAAAACCTTATGTAAACTTGGATATACCGGAAACCTGGATATACCGAATCTAATTGGTCGAATTTTTCGTTCCGGTATAATCAGGTTCTATTGTAGATTTTTAATCCAACAGAGGCGACTGCTTTATGAAGAGCCGACTATTATTTGAACCTGGATGGATAGTTCAGGTGGATCAAATAATCAGATCCACTCAATATTTCGAATTTCTCTCGCCCCGTCACGGTGCTCACTGCTCAATAGCAGTTGTTGGATTTGATATCTCCCACACATTGATAGGACAGGAAATCTACCCACTGAAAGAACAAAATTCCCGAACAAGGACCTTGTCCAATGTGATTTCCATTGATTTTCGGAACTATTATCGGATATGCAGGGGTCGTGATATGGCTCGATAAACAACATAAAAATATAACAAAGATAAACCATATGAAAATCAGTAGTACCACCTTTTCAAATGTATTAGAACTAGGATACCAGAGAGTTACGAGCGGCTATCTTCAATGTTTAAGCCAATATTGAGCAATCCCGCGTCCCGGCAGCCCGGTACTAACTTCTCCATGGTCTTGGCATCAATAACTTTAACCTTTGTTATACATTTTATGGTTGTGTGCGGCATGTGAGGGGTCTACACTTTCCTAAATGTAGTCTACCCTCAGAAGTGGTCGGCGATGGACGGATGGATACAGGATATTCGATATGTGATGAAGGGATAGTTGCTCTCACGAGCCCTATTGGTGGGTTGATGCGTGCTTCGGTAGATTTTCTCAGTTCGCCAAGACAAAGCTTATGTATCGGCATCTATGTTGCTTGATCCAGGATAGTGTATTGATTATGGTAGTCGTGGATAGATCCTGGATAGGTTGCCAAAGAGCCAAGCGCTACTTGGTGTTTGCGATAAAAGTACCCACACGACATAACATTTCCAGAATAACGATGGTGCGAACATGATCAAAACGAGTAAGGCAAAGGCGTATAAGATGTATATTCCCATTACACGACAGTCAGTCAGTCAGGATTCCACACCTGATTGCAATTGGAGAGACTTGTGTTTAGCATGTCTAAATCATCGAAACAAATTGTTACTCCGTCAGCCTCTCACCTCGATTCAAAGGAGTTCATCATCTTCTCGGAGCTACCGTTGGAGATCCGTCTTTATATCTGGAATTTAGCAATACCACAGGGAAGAATATTGCTCTTTCGAGTTAAAATCTTGCAAGTTGTTAAAAATTCAGGGCAGACCTCATTCAGTCATCGGCTACCAGCTCCAAAAATCCTACATGTCTGTCGTGAAGCACGCAACGAAGCAATAAAGTCGTTTCGAAGAGAGTCCAACGGTACACGTACTAGTGGAGGAATATACGATGGTGATTGGTGGAACCCATCGAGAGACACGATATATATTCCGTCTTCCCTCCCACCGAAGGGCAACGTCACGTCGCGGGGGAATCCCGGGTATCGAAGTTTCAGCATTGTTGCGGACATAGATCCCCAAGAAATCGTGTGGTTGAGGAATGCCCACCATCTTGCATGGTCATTTAAATCTATGTGGCTTGCATGGGCGTCCGTCAGACGTGACACCCAGCAATGGATCTGGAATGATATGGCACGCTGGCTCCTTGGATTTCCGAATTTGAAAACCTTCACATGGGTTGTAGATGGACATGGCAATCAAGGAAACAGCAATCCCATTTGGTTGAAGTATCCGGAAGTGCCTGTATACGGAGTCGGGAATCGGAAACCAGACTCGGATTTGACTATCACGCCCTCCAAGATCAATGCAAATCTCCAGAAAGCTTTCGAAATCATCAAGTCAGAGAACCCTGAATGGAACTATCCTGAAGTGAGATTTGTGTTTGACGCAAGTATTTTTTAAAGCCAGTTGGGCAACGGTTGATCCATAAAATATCAAAGAATGATCCAAATAAGGGTCAATAACATTCTGCCTGAATGGTTGAGGTAACTCAAGTTTGCTTCGATTTCGCCCAATATATGGAGAGCTAGAGTTGAATGTTCAGGTTGATTCAAAATCTGGAAAACGAGTCTTTGAGAACTCCAGAACATCAACGGATAGTATCCAATACTTATATGAATAATCTGATGTCTATGTTATATAAAAAAGAGAGCATTGAGAGTTGGTGGAAGTAGAAGTGCAACGTGGTGTTGGTAACAGGATGTAGAATGTAATCTGAGTTTCAAAAATTTCGATTACATAAGCATCAGATAAGAGACTTTGACCTCACTACTTCTCTCGATGTCACTTTGCAGACAGTACCTCCTCATTATCATCATCATCATCATCATGAAATCGAGTTCCTTAATATTGAATATCTAATCAGACGTTGTGTTACACTTTTCAAGAGTTTAAGAGTTATCTTACCTGCCAATATAGCATATCAATTCGAAGACTCAAACCTCATACATAACCGGACAAAACGAATCCAGACTTGACCGGGTCTTAGATTGATGAGGGGTTGATAAAAGCATGCATATCAGTGTCTTGAGGGACTAGACTCAAACGATTAAATAGTAATCTGTGAACCTAAGGATCCTTCCTACAACAATATGCAGGCTTATTTACTATTTACCCTTGTTAACTGTACGTATACGTGTTCCCTTGCTTGTCAGAGTAGTATTGATCGGAGGCGTCAGCTATCTTGCTAATAGTCCGTGTTTACAAGGTACTTGGATAATACCTCATGTTCGACCAGATACAACAATAGGCATCAATCAATCTGCATGCTTGCAGTACTCGCATGCTCATGTGCGGCCCTGCTGATTCAAATGTACCAAACATACCAATGGCTTCAACCCATTGCACTGGGATGACGTCCAATCGCAGTCGTGTACACATAGAGTACGTACACCAGAGGCTATCTTGGCTTGTTCTGTACCAATGTCCATGAAATATCATACTTTCGGGCTAAGAAACATACGTGAAAAAGCGTGATGTCTTAAGACATTTCTTTGATGCTGCCTTTAGTTTACTATGCTATTCGAATATTCAGTTCTGCTGTAGTAACATCATCAATATCGAGATACCTCTATGTTTCCTCGCGCGCATAAGTCAAGACGATTCTGATTTGTTACTACCTTTCCATTCAGATTCGAAAGATGGCTCTCTGCTAATGTTTTCCAAGTCCGAAATATTATGACCCTGAATAGATGACTCCTTCCACTCATCCGGTGTTCTGAAAGTCTCGGACGAATTATCGCCCTCGTACAGTTGAATCCATTCTCCACCTTCATGCGCGGAGATGGACCTATCAGACCGAAATGCAAGCCATGCTCGTCTTCCGTGACAGCCCTCAAATTCGAATTTTATGTTGATGTTCCATAGGCGGGTTGTTTCTGGAACTATCTCTATTATTTCTTCCAAACCAGCTTCTTCGATGTCTCGAATCCTCTCGGCTACTCTTGCGCTCAGAAGACTATTCCACAAACCTTCCTGTCTATCGGCCTGTTTCAGTAATAAGATAGCTCTGTTTCTTATGCGTCTATATCGACATTTTGTGGCCACCAAAAACAATGGCTGAAGTATTTCATTGTCTAGTGTAAAAATTGCTGTTTTGCGACTTTCTCTTCGGATATCTGATGGCGCATGGATGATTTCGGCGGCCCATCCCACCATCGCTTCAAATTCCAACTGAAAATTGTCCCAGAGTAAATCACTCGGTTCATTGAACTCCGTAGAAGTTGTGACCATAATTTGTGTCATTGTTTTGTGTATACGGAGAAGGTTCATTGCCCTCTTCTCCATTGGATTGACCGATTCAATAATACCCCTCTCGCGTGTCATACGTGAATATGACTCAAATCTTCGATTCCAACTCTCGAGGAGGGCTAATAGCGAAGTTTTGGTTTCATTGTCGGTAGGGAGGGGAAGAGGGACGCCATTGTACATTGAACAGGAAAGTAGGTTTCTCGCGCTGAATGTCCAAACCGATTCTAACGCCTCGCGCGCTTCCTCAACGTTAAGGAACTCGTTGTGGACAAAGTTCGGAGATGAGTCAACTTTGCCGTCGATTATGCTTGCTCTAGATGTTAAAACCGATGCCTGCGTATCCAGTCGGCTGAATAGCATACGAAATATCGACACTGGAATGTGATCTTCATGAAAATCGTCATTCGAAACAGCAATTGATTCTCCTGATGATTGCAGTTCTGAGAGTATTTTTACTCCACCGTCGATGTGTGCGATAGCAGAGTCGTGATGCCCTCGTAAAGTCTTCAGCGCATCATCAGTTAGTGACTAGTAAGTGAGATCTTAGTGGTCATTGAAGACACTTACCTCAAAACATATAAATAATATGCAGGTCGTCAACGCCAAATTCGCCGATCTGCATGTATGTTTATTGTTGACACCTACATTCGGTTGAACCAGGCAATTTATCGCTCTCACATATTGTCGTAAAGCAAAAGAATTCTCTTCGGTGTCGTCCTTCACCCTACAAATGAATTTATCCTCCAACTCGAACCTCTCATGTAAAGAACCGAGTGCAATAGCTGCATGTCGTACTGCCGGCTCACGATGAGAGGCTTGTAAAATGAAATGACTCCAGAATTTCGAACCAAAGCAACTGCCTAGTTGAGGTGCAGTTTGTGTGTGGAAGAAGTGGAAAGAGTGTTGCTCCTGGTCACTAACAGATAGCGACGGAGAAAGGAAATCAGTAATAGTTGGAGGTAGTTGATATGTACCACGGCTAGGAGACTTCGGGACGATAGAAGATATCGTACTAGGCTTAGAATTTGGACTGGATGTACAATGTGCATAGCCGTCACATTGTCTTCCTGTTGCAGCACATTTCCTACATCCGGGTCTTCCTTCATCGCATTTCACATGGCGGACTCTACATGAGAGATAGATGTCAGTTCGAGATATGTGTTTCAAGATGCGAAGTAAGTCAAGTCAATCACAACTTCCCTCGGAAAATTGGCGGATTCAAAAATTCGACTGCCATTGATGATGATGTATCAAGCAAGAAAGTTGCGATCGAAAGTGTAGTCCGGTTTACGGGAAATCGTTCGATATCAAAGGAAGTAGGATATTTGGAGACACACTCACTTGCAAGTTTTGCATCCCGTCTTCGCTCTTGTACTGAATGCCCGAGAACGTTTAGGAACTTCCTTCTTTATGACCGGCTTTGTCAAAGTTCCAACCATTTTTGTGAGAGAACAGCAAATGTTGATGACTACTCAAATAGCTATATGCATTTCCAAAATGCCGCACATTCGTATTATCCGGTGAAGGGACTTTGATCAACTAATCATTCCCGAGGATGTCTTCGTCGAAAAGGCGTTGATAATCACTGCAAAGTAGCTAGACTTAAGAACAGCGTGAAATGTGAGATGGATTTGCCGACAGATGACTGATTTACCAATTCACATACTTTATGTTTTACAAACAAGTCTGGCCAAGGCTAGATATAAATGGTTGAATCCATAATTAACTACCTTGCCGCATTGCATGTTCGAAAGGCGAAGCGTCCACAAGTCAGATTTTGGTATTGACTATTACTCCACGCTGCGCTAGTCTCGGACAAACCAGGGTTACTGTTCCAAATGAGTAGGCATGATTGACAGGCATAGCAAGGACCACTACCACCCTGACACCGAGATAGTGATCGCAGATTTTAGTGAGATGAACGAGCAGACCAATCAGGTAGTCAGCGAGCTAACATAGCTAACATCGGAAATAAACTTGTGATTCAAGGTTAGAAGTTACACCGGAAACAATCAGAATCGAGAACCATAAGATATTGACCAACCTAATTTGGTGAGCCAGACCTTCATCGTCTCTGAAGTCCTGACCAATATAGGTAGCAAGATTCTTCTAAACCTTCCTTTTCTTTAACAAGAACAACGGCCGTACACTTGCCACGCCATGTTTCTACTTTAAGCAAAAGCCGTCTGATATGTAGGGCAACACACATGCAATATTCGGTATCGTTCCCCATTTTTCCGGGCCACACTATCACGTTTATTCTCTAAGCCAGTTAGCCCCTTGGATTTCACCAATCAACTCCATCACGCCAATGCCAAAATCAATGAGAGGCGTCAGACACATGGAGTATTGTTAGGCCGTATTACAGACCATCTTATGGCCGTCATCAAAACGGAATATTTGTATTGAAACAATCACTTCCTTTCATCTGAAATGTAATCCTCCCCGCGAATTACCTAGGTATTGGTTTCATCAGCCACAAGATAACGGCTCAGATCATCTTGTGAACTTGGAGTCGCCTCCTGAGAGCCCTGTCGATGGACTTAACCTTACCGGTATATCCACTAGAAAATACAAGCAACTCTAAAGATCGATTTCTCGATTCAGATATTGTTGATGCCCCTATTTCAGCCTGAATTTTGTAATGATCTAATTTACGGTCGAGCATTCTATAACTTTACACCGGTAGCCAGATCTGCAAAACTCGCGTACCTTGTGCAAAAATCCTTATCTCCTTACATTTATTACTAGGCGACGCCTTATCAATGCAATAGATTAGAGTAGTCTAGACTGATAAAAGCTATCGGTATATCAACAACAATAAATTAGGATCTTTTTGGGGAATTAACAAGCTTAATCAAGATGCCTTTCACAATACAGTAAGCAGTGTTAACGATTGACTGGAGTGGGACAGGAAAAGATCGATGTAACCACCGATCACAATGTCCTCGCTTCGAGATCCACTTGATCTCCTTGCACAGCTTGCATGACCCCCTCTAGTTCTATCTAGCGTTTTGTTAAAAATAGCAATACATACAATATATACACAGTCCAGTTCAAATGGTGAACAAGAATCACGAGCAAATGCAATTTATTCGAGTATCTTGTATTAACAACTGTTGGTTATACACCCCACGTTACACAATCAAATGCGGGGAATTTTTTTCAATATTCGAGTAAGGTTAAATAAGAATAATATTAGTGCTCGCTCGATACTCAACCACCAGCTTATAGTATCGGGATTCAAATGCTAAATGCTAAACATGAGGCGTTAGCTATCCATCATCATCATCACACATAGGAAATTAGTAATTTAGTAAGTTGACACAGAACGCGAACCTTCTCTTCTTTCACCAGTCATTATCTCATCTCTTGCAGTATCGGCCTTATGAATCCGCCTTGAAGGAATGGAATTTAAAGTTATGGATTCTGGGATCGGGATTTGATTTGATAAAATTTGATCTGATCTGATCTTGCTTTTGGATTAGATGATTAGATGATAGATAGTAAGTAAGTAATGTTATGTTATATATATATATATGTACCGGTATATAGATTCTGAGATGAGATGAGATGAGATGAGATGAGATTTCCACTGGCAGATAATTAGTGATGCGAAAAGTTGTTATAGTCACTACCGGTATAGATATCTATTCGAGTAGTATTCGAGTGCAATTATAATATACTAGTAGATTATAAATTCATAGATATGAATACGGATCTATAGCTCGAAACCCAATTTTCTATATTCTAATATATGTTTTGGGATTAATTCACTGGTATTGATATTGGTATTAGTATTAATGAATATAAATATAGATAGATCTATTCGCAGCTTATCAAATTAATCAAGTTAATCAATAGATAGTAGTATTCTCTCTTCTCTCTTCTTCTTCGTCTTCGTCTTCTACTTATTATCCCTTACCCCTTATTCTCTCAGCTTCTATAAATCAGGAATTATCTGAATTATAAATACTATATTATATATACTATATCCTATATAGATATCTACCCAAGTGATAAGATAAGATAAGATAAGATAAGATAAGATAAGAGCCGCCAAAAGACCCATTCCATCTCATCTAATCTAATCTAATCTCACTTAACAAAATAAAACAGAGGGACATGCATAAAATAAACTCCACAAGCAAATGAGCACGCAAGCAAGCAAGCCTAAAATCTGTAAACGCTGTCAATTGATTGTCTTAATCTTGATATCTCAATCCATCAATGCATCCATACATCCATCCATCAATCCATCCATCCCAATTCACACCAAACCATTCCCATAAAAAACGCCCATACATCCTAACCGCCCATCCGCTAATTTTTGCACTCCACCACCCTAAACCACTACCCTAAACACCCACTCAAATCTTCCGCCTTCGCTTACCCGCACTATTTTCATTCCCACCATTCCCATTCCCATTTCCAATGCCATTCCCATTCCCATTCCCATCCGTCAAACCACTTCCATCATCCGCCGGACTCGCTGCTTCACTACTAGCCACAGTCTCTACAATCCTACCCATCCCATTTCCATTTCCATTTCCATTTACACCTCCAACTCCATTTCCATTCCCATCAATCACCCCCTCCATACCCACATCAAAATGACTTTCCCCAACTCCATAACCTCCATTCCCATCTACCCCATTTCCAAAATCATCAAAATTAAAACTTGGATTGACAGGACTACTCCCCGTATAAAAAGCGCCAGAATCCAAAAATTGATCAAGGTCGATATTTGAATTATGAGGATCGATCGAATCAGCGTTGTTGAAGTATGAATCGCCTTGAGCACCAGGGATGGAACCAGAAGGACTGAGAGGTTGAAGAGCCGTGGAAAGACTTGAGATACGATCACCTTGCAAATGTTGTAATCTCATCAAATCATCAATCTCAGCTTGCGTGTATGCCATTTGTCCCAAATCTGGAGCTTGAGGTGCCGGGCCCACAAGTGCATTATTAGAACCTGGTGCTGAAGAAGTGCTGGCGATAATGTTGAGCATGCTACTGCGTTGTTCCGACGTAAGTGGGGAATTGCCATTTGCGTTTTCGTAGTGTGTGAGCATATCCGGGAATTCCATGGCATTGTTATCAGGTTGAGTTTGTGCATTGGCGTTATTAATCAGATTCAACATGTCCCTCTGTGGTTCGGTTTTCGTCGCGCTATCGCTGGGAGATTCGAAAAGTTCTTCAACTGTTCCGGAACGTGGAGTGGAATATTGATTTCTTGGACTGGAGGCAGCGGGTGAGGTTTCGGTAACTCGACTACTCTCTCGATCCGTAGGTCCTGCCGTCAATAACTTTTGAGCCTTGCGTAAAGCCGGACTGACGCTTCCAGGGGGTTGCTGTTGTTGAGGAGTTCCAAGGTCACCAATATCCACGACATTTCCTTGTTGCTGATGCTGACCCTGTTGATTTAACCCAGTTTGAAACATCCGAGTAATATTTTCGGCTCCTTGCCCATCCAAACTTCTGTTGTAAACAGTAGCAAGAAAAGTAAGAATAGCGTTGATCGAACTCTCGTGACGTTCATGAAGATTCTGGAATGTGATAGCTTGCTGATAGAGTTGATTATGGTCCTTCCTCAGGCGTGTGATTGCTTGTGAAATGGCACCTTGCTGTTTTTGAATGTCGGAAATTTGACTCTGTACCAATGCCATTTCTCGACGTTGTAATGGACCGGATTCTGGTGCAACTGATATCGCTCGACTTGTGGCTGCATTATTAGTATAATTACTTGGTGCAAAAGTTTCGTCAATATCTCTTCCATCATCGTCACTATCTCCATCTCCCATATCCTCTGTTTTCACTCTTCCGTTGTTCTTTCTCTTTCCTTGACCGCCCTTTGGTTTATTGATGAGCCACAAAAGATTTGGATGTCCACGCTTGAAGTAAGGGTTGTAATATTCACTGGGACTCTTATTCTTCCTCTCGCTCGCCTTCATCGAGTTGTCCGAAAGTCCTACTCTCTTGTGAAACCCATACATGTTGAGTTGTCGAACGAATGAGGCATAATTGTTATGCTTGAATAATTCCGGTATCAAAGTTTTCGCAAACTCATCCTCATCCAGAACCACAAATGAATCGCCTCGATCAGACCATCGTATAAGTTCGGTATTCTTCGATTCGTCAAGAAAACTACATATAAAGACAGTTAGCAAACAATCCTGATCCGACTTCGTAAATGAGGGGCGCTTACCTGCTTAGCTTTTGCACAAACGGCGGGATTTGCTTTCGCTTTGACTGAGCATCTCTCTTCGCAACAGCAGCCTTTTCCTCCAACGCTTCAATATCATCATTTTCTCCGGTCGGTCCATGCCCATTCTGTGTATCCATCATAGTATCGTCCCCAAATGATCCCCAGCTATCAGCCGAACTATCGTAAGCCCGGGGCGCGACAAGTTGGCGATTGTTATTGATATTAGGTCTGCGAGCCAATTGTGTAGACTGGACTGGCGCGGGGATGGGATGGTCAAAAGCAGTCGTCGTCGTCTGCGGCAAACCATTCGCTCCAAAAATGTTCATATTGTAGCCTGACGTTGGATCCGCGTAATTTTGATTTTCGGAGTTCTGATTCCAGCGCAAAAAATCTGCATTAGGTAGCTGGCTACCTGCATTGTACGTCTGTTGTTGCATTTGCGGTGTCTGAACAGCCGACGTAACTCCCGGTGCTGCTCTTTTTCGGGGATTTGTTGAAGACATATGAGAATACATTCGTTGAACTTGCGAGCGATCTGGCAGTGGAACTGATTTTCTTTTACAGATGGTGTAGGTGTTGGCGTTGGCGAGTATGTAGGTAGGTAGATGGGTATGTGAGAAGGGAAATAGATGGTCCCCTGTATGTCGTATGGTCGTCTTGCCGTACTAAACAATTCACGGGTCCAAAGTCGAGGCTACCTGCAGCCTCCCTTAGCCGCTTCAAGCAGATGAAAGTGCGACGCCAAACTCGAAGATAAATCACAACGCTATGCTGTAAGATGTTTGCCTTATTTTTTTTTGGTGATTGTCGGGGAGATTCTGGTAGAGGCTCGGCGATGAGGCAGGATGGAATTTTGCAGGAAGGAAAGAAGATATCTATAAATGCTGAACGCGCTTCAAAGGTATGATCGGAAGTTATGAGTCAATGGTGGATGTATTGAGATGGTTCTTAGAATAATTTATTGTTCATTAACAAAGGTTGAAGAAGGGAGGTGAGGTAGTGGGGTTATGTATGATGCAAGTTGAAAGTTGAATATTGATATCTTTCGTTATGTGTTTTGGTTTTTAAAAATTGTTTTATTCTTTTTGATTTATATTGAGACTTTTTATTGCTATTTTTGGTATCAATTGAGGGGATTTAAGGGATAATTATTTCAATAATGAAGAGATGATTTATAAAGTGGTCTTATATTGAAACTCTTGTGTAGTGTATAGTAGTAAATAGTACAGTAAACTTTACCCTTTACCTTTATGAGTTTGTCTCTCCGGTTTTGTAAAATCTTTACATTTCAAGATTTCATTTATCCACAAGTGAAGTAAGTAATAATGATGGTAATGATGACTAATAATACAAGGCTGACAAGCTTTTACGGTACGTATCTACCTAAGTACTCAGTACAGTAAATGGTTGCTTTAACCCATATCTTTATATTGTAGCAGCCAACAACTCCTCATTTTCTCAATATAGTTAACACTATATATTAAAATCTCTCCTCTATTCAATAACAATCTACTCTTAGTTCTCATGTCATACTATACCATACCATACATACATATATATAAGGAGCCCGGAGTTCCAAATATGGACACAAATTCCAGCGGACTTGTGGTTCTCGGTACCATACTGTTGGTAACATCCTATCCCTATTATAGTTTGTTGTACGTGGACATGCATCATAGGTACGCTCAAAAGGTTCTTCAAGATTGACTGTTGTGGAGTCAAATTTGCAGGTTCCTATTTTGAATACAAAAGGTAGATAAAAAATCCTCATGTTCCTTTAAAATTCATCTTATTCCGCGCACGGAAGATTTATTTTCGCTCCCCCTAAATCATAACCGAACAAATCTTCCCACTTGGTAATTCCCTTGCTAATTCCAATTTCGTCCCCTATTTCGCTCCTCTCCCAGCCAACGCCGATCCTTTCGCCAATTTCTCGTTCCTCTTCATATCCCATTCTCTCCCTGTTGAACCTCCTGCTTTCGCCTCCCTCTTCGCCTTCATCTCCTCCTTTAACGTTTTAGCTTTCTCTCTCGGATCAATAACCACCAATTCATTTTCAGCTTTCTTCCTATAACTAAGATCTTTGCCTAATTTATCTTCCTTGAAACTTAACGCATGAGACATCCACCCCTTGTCATTAAGATCATCATCCTCTTCTTCCTCGCCTTGCGCTTCCCATGATTGACAAGACTGACAATTCACTATAAAGTGTAGATCACACAATGCAGCTTCTTCATCATCAGCTGTTCCATTTTCATCGAGTTTTCCTTCAGTGTCGTCTTGCGGTACAGGTTTAGCCACTTCCTTTTCAGCTGGCGCAGATTCCAATCTTTCTCGAAAGGCTCGTAGGATATCTAGGGCTGCTTGATCATTGCTAGCAGTTGACTTTCCGTTAGGGTTACGTTTTCTTCCACGAACAGATGTTGCTGGTATCATTGCTTCTAAAGCGGATTTCTTCTTTTCGAGCTCAGGGACCGCCTGAACATTTCGCTTCATGGATGCTTTGAGTTCTGCAATTTGTGCATTTGTGCGATCTAGTAAAGAGGTAACCTTTTCAACCTGAGGTTCTGGCGAGGAAGAAATATCTCGATCGAGATTTGCGGCTCTATTGGGCAAGGATTTGGGAGGTGGTCTTGCCTCTGGTTCTGGTGATGACTTGGGTGATTCTGATGATCGCGGTCTTGATGCCTTCTTTTTCGACGCTGATTTGGTTTTAGGCTCGGGTTCGGGCTCGTTATCTGCAATCCCATCATCCATTACAATCCTCGTATCAAACTTCGCCCTTTTCTTAACCATTGGTTCCTCTACACCCTCCTCCCCATCGTCCCCGAAACTCAACAATTGTTTTCCTGCTTTCCTCTTCTTTTTCTTCTCCACAATCTTCTTCGGAGCAGCCTTTGCAATCCTCTCCCTCCTTACCATATCCTTAAACGGGTTAACCAAGACCTCCACCTCCATAATCTTCGTAGGATACAACGGCCTCTCCCCATCTCCACACTCCACCTCACCCATTTTTGCCAAATTATATATAGTTTCTCCCTCCACCCGTCCAAACAGAGTATTCTTACCCGTCAACTCCGGCGTATCTCCAAGAGTCAGAAAAAATTGACTCCCATTCGTATCCTTCCCCTCGTTCGCCATTCCCAACAATCCTCTCCTATTGTACTTTATCCTGCTATGAAATTCATCTTTGAATCCGACTCCTCTCGGTCCTGCATTTTGTCCTTTTCGCTCTTCCATAGGCCATATACCATTCTCTTCAGAAAATTCGCCGCCATCGTAGATAGATTCTCCTCCGGATCCAGTACCTGTAGGATCACCGCCTTGTAAAATGAAACCCGGCACAAGTCGATGAAAGATAGTATTATCATAGTAGCCGTCGAGGCAATGTTGCAGGAAATTACGACATGTGAGGGGAACTTGTTGCGCCCAAAGCTCGAGGGAAATATCGCCGGAAGTGGTGTGTAGAACGCATGATGCCGTAGGTTGTGGCTCGAGATTATAGAGTGACGACATCTGTAGATATTCAAGGGATTGGCAAAACCGACAATTTAATGGGGCCTTGTTGGGTGTGGTGTGATGGAGATGTTAATAAATTGTTTTATTTCCATGTGAACTAAATTTGGTTGGAGCTTAGCATGAGCTCTGGCTTATCTGATGCCTTAGGTTTAGGGCATAACATCCGGGCTGGGTGTCAAACAAACTAACTTAATATCAATAACTCGAGTAAACATAAATCATAAATTCATATGAAACATATAAACTTGACATTTTGATATATTCACACCATATGGACCAGAGGAAACCATTCTAAATTCTCAGATATAAAGTTCATATCCACATCTCACACCAAAATCACAATACACGACACTTACCCCATTCATTATATTGAAGGAAGAGAAGAATTTATAACTTTTCACTAATGATTTGAAAATACCAGACTATGAGTGAGTGTTTTCCCTATATCCTGTTGTCCCCCCTCCGGCCGCCAGACGCCGCCATAACATGACAATAGTAACATGACAATATCAATTGTACCTCAATTTCAAGCGCGAAAGGTGCACTGGAGTCCTACTCTCAGGTTATATCCAATAATAACGAGGACTCAATGCACCCTAAAATCAAACATGCATATGACCTTCAAACCCTCCCTCCCACCTCCTCTGAAATCAATAGCTTCAGCAACAACAGTACAAGAATTTTCAAAAGATGAACAGCAAACAATTAAAGTACAATGATATCGTATTTCCTCGGCCAGCCCCGTCATTTCGACTCGAGAACCAGCGAGTAGGTGTCGGTGTTGATATAAGTCGATATCTGAAACTTGAGACCAAGGTAATTTTTATAATTTTATAGCATGACGAGACGTTACGGTCATCAATCGTTGTGTAGAAATGGGGTGTAGCAAACCCTTATTATTATTCGTTGTCCAAAGACGTAGAAATAGTCCGGATCCTGCTATTGGTGGATACCGGGAGGAAGTCATAGTAGCGTTATCGTCAAGGTTGCCCAGTCGCTTTAATAGTATCCTGGTTGATGTCATATGCGTCGTTCGGGGAAGCCAATCGGTAAATATTAAGGATAATTTGTATATACCGCGAGCAAGAATGATTCTGGAGCGTAGGTGCTCTCAGAACAGAGATCGAGGCAAGTTTTGTAATTACAGTAATAAGAGCCGAGTTGGCAAGCCTATTTGTAGGCAAAACAAGGGCTCTGAAGAAGGTTGTATGGAAGATATTTGGCTTCCGCAGGGGGAGGGTGATAGATTAAATACGGCTGCCAGTGATGTGACGTTGTAATGGGTGGTAAACAGATTGCGTTCGTATAGCTCTATGTTCGTAACGTCGTAAATCTCTTGTAAAGTACTACATGAATCGAGAAGCAGAGGTAAAGTTATTTCGCTCGGATGAGTCTAGCATTCAGTTAGCTTGAAACGCCCTGAGGATAATTAACAAGACTTACCATCACTGCCTTTGCTAGCATGGCCGTTTTGTCTACTGCGAGAAAATCCCGAGCCCCATTGGTCACTGGTAGGTCCTCTTGGTTGTCTCTCGGGAACTGCGCTTTGACCATTTCTAGAGCTGTCTTCAAGTGCTCCGTTGACTGGGCGCTGGCTTCCAATAGGACCAGCATTTGACGTGTAATTATCTCTCTCTTGGCCAATACGTCCGGGCATGTTTGAACGAGGTTGGCGATCATATCCAAGTGACATGTTGCTCATGCCGTTGGCAAGGAATGCGTCCTCTCGAAGGCCTAAAGGTCCTACTGCAGAGGTAGGTGTTAAGTTGGGGGTTCCGCTTGTAGCTGATCCAAGACCGTAATCATTGCATTGGAATCTAGCGATATTTTGGCTCAAGTTGACTGGGAAACTCGAGGAAGATAGTGCAGGCGATGGCGAATAAGAGCGCAAGTCAGCGAAAGATTTCGCTGCGCGTAGGCTTTGACCACCATGAAGTAGGTCACGTACTCCTGGGGAGCCTGGGATATCGAGAAGACCGGAACCTTGTCGACCCAAAGTATGCATTTGGTAAGCAGCGTCGTTAGCTCGTTGTTCGCTGAAATCAATTGTTGCAGCTCGGTTGAGTCCACGACGTTGGGACTCATTGTAATAACCAGTTTGAATTTGATTCAAAGGTGGGCTAGCATGCTTAGTCTTAACTATCTGCACCTGACGCAGCTCTCCATTTCCTTGCGAATTGTGTTCTAGCCCCATGTTATGTGCCAGAGTATGGATAATTCTTCGATCAGCTGGCGAAACCGTAGGTTGGAAGGTGAAAACCTCTCTTTCGGTATCATTCTTGAAGAGGAGAAGCTCGGTGTAATAACCTAATGTTGTTGGATCGTTCAGGTCATATTCTGCAATCAGAAAAATGAGTCAGCAATTGTGCGTGCGATAGGAATATTTGGTACTTGCCTGTTCCGCTGGTACTGGAAGTGACAACACTTTGACGCATGGTTGAAGGTGAAGGAGATGTGGTTCTCAGGCCAGAATTCATCGAAGTCATTGATCCCGCGGTATGAAGAGAACCAGAGGAAATCATATTTGGAGGAGCGCGGTGTTGCTCCTCGAGTTGGCCGCGTCTTTCTCTCTTGTCGCGTTCGATTCTATCGCGCTCTGCAGCTGGAAGCATCTTCTTGTACTCAACTCGGAGCTTTCGTCCCTGCAAGTCCATATGGTTCAAGGCATCGATAACCTGTTGCGTTTCGCGTGCATCGGTGAAATTAGCGAACGCCAAACCCCTGAAAACGCCACTGTCAAAGTGATAGTTAAAGGCGTATGGCAATGGTAATCCCATGTTAGACATCATCTCTGTCAGTTGTTCTTTCTTAACAGCAAACGGGATGTTCTTGATAACGATGGCGGTTGGAATAAGCTCTTCGTGATCGCTCTGTTGGTTTGGGGGTGGTGGTGAACGATGAGAATGCTGGGGTTGATCAAACATGCCAGGCAAATTGTGTTGTTGTAAATTTGTTTGGGTGATGGGACCACCAAGGGATGGAGTACCTGAATTCACCCAGCCCTATAAGATATCAGTAAAGTTCGACAGGTGCGCAAAAGATTAATTGAAAAAATAAATGAAGGGGGAGTAACGTACAGTTGGGATTTCAGGTCTGCGAGCTTGTTGTTGCGGAGGTCTCATACGACTTGCTGCTCCCATTGTACTAGCTCCATTTGCACCTCCATAGTTCCAGGTCTGGGTTTCGTAGGCGGGATAATTAATGTTGTTAGCAGGACCTCTATAACCAGCTTGATTTCCGTTATATTGTGGTGCGTCATCAGACGCGTAAAGTCCTCCATTCTGAAGGGATGGTGGATAACTATCCAAGAATTGTCGCGATGATTGGTGATTAAGTGTCACATTGCCATAAGCTCGACCCGTCGCTGGCGATCGATTCTGAGGATAATCTTGAAACATCTCGGAAAACTGTTGACTCATCATAAGTGGCACAGATGTATGTTGTTGAGTCGTGAAGAATGAGAAACGAAAAGTTTGTTGTGATGCAGACAGAGAGAGAGAGACAGAGAGAGAGGGTTGTGATGCAAGGAGCCGATGAATGGATGGCAGGCACACTTGTCAAAGCTTTACTCTGAATTAATTGTTCACACAACAACCAAAAGTTTTTTGTGGGAAAAAAAAAGATTAAGCTACTCGAGACTAGCACCAAACTGAGAGTGATATTCGTTCGTAAATGTGTGTAAATGTTGTTGTATAAAGCGTTCGAGAACTTGATCAAATGATAAAGATATGTTATGTTGTATATTGGTTAATGTAAGATTATTTTCGTTACGGGTTGACGGTTGACAGTTGGAGGTTGAAGGTTGAAGGTTGAAGGTTGGAAGTTTGGAGGTTGAAGGTTGGAAGTTTGGAGGTTGGATAAGTAAGTAATAATCAGTATTTCGTACTGGGGTTTCGTTCGTTTCTCCTTACTGTGGGGGAGATGATTACGATAAAAAATGATTGGGACTCGTAAACAATCTTATTGCTCTTGAAGAATGAAGAATATTTTAAAGTGATGAAATTGACATTGTATTTAAGAAAGAATAAAATTGAAATGTTCAAGTATTGAAGTTTTACTTGAAGAGGTGAGGTGGAAGAAAAAGAAGTGAGAGGGGAGAGGGGGGGGAAAGACTTTCTTTTTCTTGACTTTGAAATGATTGATTAAATGATTTAACTGGGAGAGCCAAGTATTAGGTAGATATTCGTGAAGCTAAACTTTAAATGGATTAGTTATTTGATAGTTTAATGTACTAGGCAAATAAATCGAGTAAACCACCACAAATTGATCGGGATTGATTTAAATTGAATACTTTTTAGAGAGTCAATGAGTAATTGAGTAACTCATAAAAATTACGGGGGAAGGGGAATTGGAACTGGAAAGAGGAAGGGAATGGGAATGGGAATGGGAATGGGAATGGGTATGGGTATGGGTATGGGTATGGGTATGGGTATGGGTATGGGAATGGGAATGGAGAGGGAAAGGAAAGAGAAGAAAGAGGTTGATGAAACGGTAATAAGATCAAGATTCGAATCTTTAATAATGGATTTGATGAAGACAATTCACCAATCAATTAACTATTTTGTTATATATCATATATATCTTCACTTGATACACTCCTAAAAGAACACATGTACTGTATAAACTGGATATATAATTCAATTCCTTTTTCCTCTTTCTTATACACCCAAAAACCCCCCAATATAGATAAGATACACAGAAAGAAAATCCCAACCAAAGGTCTTGTACATCAATCAGTAAACCAAAGGTAAGGAACCGAAACCAACCTATCTATCTATGTACTTGAGATTGAACGTGATACCAAAGCTTGATGGTTCCGATTATCGATTATATATGTTGAGTTCGAATGTTGTGGAGCATGATATCTTGAAAGAGTTGGCGCTACATCATCCGAATCGTGAAGCTGTCACCAAATGATTTATATCCATGTCAATATGAGGGAAGGTCATCGAGAGATACCACACGAGCGACGATGTGTTTAATCATTAGGTATAAGTTGGGAGTAACTTATTAGTACTGGTTGGATCTTATTCATGCTGGCTAACTATCAAATCTATATAACTTGATATACTCGAGTTATGACGATGACTCTTCTTGAGTGACAGGTATCAAATATGATCATGATTCTATCTATCTAGTGTATAGGACAGATATCTGCTGTGATATGATAGACTAGAGTACAACTAGTGCACTCCTGCAGCTGGTTCATTTGATATTCGTCGATATTCTGCAGGTTTATATCAAGCAGTACGAACGAGTACATCCAATTCATATAATTTCATTATCTATAACATATGTTGAGTACTAGGTATCTACCTAAGTATACCTACCTAGGCATCTAGGTATCTAGGTGTTTGTTCAAAAAGAAGAGGTTCAGGGTTTAGGTTAATTAGCTTTTCTTATACATATATTATAATTACCTACTACTATATTCTTTCTATTCGAGTACAAGTACTCAAGTATTCATTTCGTTGTTCTATAAAATCATAGACCATAAAATAATAATTACTCAATAAGCTAACAAAATAGTAAATGCAAGTCATGGATGAACTAATTCATAGGAGACAATTACCGGTAAGTGGATCATTGAAATCACGATGAGATGTTCTGTACCAAACTATTCAAAAAAATTCTATATTAAAATGTATCCATCCATAGAAGAAGAAGAAGAAGGGGTCCAATAAAACTTCTTTTACTTTGATTCTCCAAAAATACTCGTATACCCAGGTCAAAATCCATTTGATAATCTATTGAAGGCTTGAAGCAGGATGTAAACCTTCGAATCGGATTTTATAATCGATAAAGTTTTCTCCTTAGTTTTACTTTGATATGAAACAAAAAGTTATCACTCTAAATTAACTTCACCAAAAACATGAAAATGACTTATTCATACAATAACTTGAGATTATTCTCCTGAATCCCCTTGGCAATTTGGAAGTTAAGACCCTTAGATCATTACTCGTAGTTTTCTTCCATATCATCTCATCTTCATAATTCATCTCAATAATTCATCTCATTTCTATCATAATCACCACAATCACAATCACAATCACAACCTCACCCACCTCCTTTCGTTTCCCTATCTCACCGTCTCACGTCTTACAAGTACAGTACTCGAGCACTGTATTACAAACTCAATGTTCCCCTCGAAATGACACTCCTTTAACAGAGTACAGTACAGTAGTAGTACTTACACAACCCACTCTACCGGATTTCTTTCTTTAACTTCTAGAATACGAAGAACCGAACCATCCCTCTCATTTGGGATCCAAGCAATTTCGAATTCAATTCCAGTACCAAACAATTTACGCTTCCAAAAATTCATATGGTCGAGGCCCACGGCAATCCCCTACATTGTTTCCTGACATCTCACCAATCAAACCTCACAAACGAATACCCCCATGGCTTCACCGCAAAAATAGATTCCGATTAAAAAGAAAACCCCTTTTTTCTACAGTACAATGATCCATTATACTCGATCAAGTTAATATGTGTTGCGGGGCGAACCGATATGATGAACAAACTTTGGTCCGTTCGCAACGATAATTCATTCATTCCATTCTCCTGATATCGATCCCCTATTCTCGTTACCAAACTATTTTATATCAAATTATGTGAATGAACCTGTGTTACTTACTACTGACCAGGCCAAATCCAATGCATGGGGGGAAGGAAGGGTAATAGAAACTTCCAATTCTCAAAGAATAGAAAAGCTCATTTCCATTCTTCTACTCGGGAACTGTACCGGTACCTATTGACTTTGATATTCAAGACATCTATCTGCCAATCGGGACTTGGGGGTATGTATTTGCCAAGATGACAACGAACGGACGGACGCGCGAAGCCAGGACGCGGGAAGCTATTCATTCATATCAAAAAGCAACAAAATTGGGCTGAATTTGTTTACCTCGCAATATATAAAGTACATCGAGTCAGTCAATCAATCAATCAACCATACCATAACCAATGAAGTGAGTCGGGCCCTCACATCGCAGTCCTTCAAAGACCAAATCAAACCAACCAGTTCATCAACTTCATCAACCTCCTCCCCCAGTTCACGCAGTCCACACAATCCACCCAATCGGAATTCTGATTCAAAGATCCCGTTAAGTAAAGGCTGAAAGATAAGCAAACGCTACCGGTATCTACGAGTAATAATCTCGACCATGGATGGATGGATAGATGGATGATTAAAGGGAAGAAAATAAAATGTTCCGATAGGTAGGTAGGGAGGGAGGTAATCGTTGCAACGGTAAGTTCCAATATTTGCAAATGCAGATGGTAAGATTGTTATCTTACATAATCCGTCTTTGGCTCGCCGGTACCATTCTTGGTCATGTGATTGATGAATGGTGGAAGGATTGAAGAAAAACCTACCGGTATCTTTGATTTACGAAATTATTGGTGGTGAACCATGAGAAATTACTTTATATACGAGGATGATAACTCGATAGATTTCTTTTCGGAGGCATATGTTGATGAGTGTCAAAACAATTCAACCTGCCATACCGGTACATATTGCGTAGTCGCAATTTCGAGTGGTGAAATTCGTGATGAGGGAGTTTTGCATTTTTTGAGAACATAATGTGGTAATGATGGGGCATGGCATCTTTCATTGAATATCATCATCATCAATCGTCAATCATCAGTGAAGACCTATAGGTATACCGGTAGTTCACCATATATATTATACAGTTTATACTCCCGCGCCCGCGGTAAGCAAACCTTCATTTCGCACAGCACCAAATACCGGTAATTCAAGATCTATCTGTCCTTTCGTCCTTTCGTTCTTCCGTCCGACATAAAGGTTTGGTATCAGGAATCAGCAGTCAGTATGTATGTACGTAGCCTTGAGAAATTGGCGATGTGGTTATGCGGTGTACAATGATATGATATCGTTAATTGAATTTTAACCTTTGGAAATCTAAGCTCGCATCTTTCTGTGCAGTGTATCGATCGATATCGACGGGCGTGCAGCTTGTCAGTTGAAAGTTTTGTCTTGCCTTGTCTGAAGCTGAATGGCCTCTCACAGGACCCATTGTTAGCGTAGGGAAGAGAGGGGGGGGACATTCTATGAAAAAAAAAGAATTCGAGTTATAATTAATTATAATTTTATATCATATACAAAACTTAACACTGAGGCTATTCCTTTTTTCTCTCTCTCCTACTAATCAGACAGCAGCTCCCAATTAATTAATATATATAATAATAATATGATAGTGAGTTAGTATGTTTATACTATAGATACTAGTAGATACTAGTAGATAGATAAAAAAAATACACATCGCCAGCAGCGTCGTTTGTAATACTAATATCCCATCCTCCTCTCTCATTATATCCTAGGCCTACATAGAATAGAGACCCTACGAGTACAGGCTACCGGTATATCCTAAGATTTTGTCAATATCCTCATCCTGTC